AAATACTGTATGGTTTGTATTTTCATACAGTAATTATTGAAAACATGCAGGTAAGAAACATTTAAAATTATCCATGTGGAGTAAGTTATTTGTTTATTATATTGACATGTGTTATATCATATATAATAAATTTTACATTGGGAATTTAAACAACCGGTCAATCCGGCCCATATGTCACTTTTAAAAATATATAATTTAAGACAAGCATGTTTGCTATGTACATTGGGTATTATGCATATCGTTTACTATATATTATAGACTGTAACTTATGCTGAGTAGAAAAATTTCGCGATTTGCCTAATATGAAAATTTACTACAAGAAATTTGGTATTGTCTTAATCTGACAATGATGTTTTATCCAATACTATTGGTAAAAAAAAAAAAGATCTAAAATTTGATGAAGTACAATGCACTAGAAAGTCACATCTATCTTCTACACAATTTAAGGAACATTAAGTACATAATATGTCAACTTATTAATTGTTGAATTATATAGTTTGAAGCAACCTCAGATTTTGTGCAATAAATGCAACTTCAGTGATTACAAATTGTTAAATATATGTACATTGTTATTATATGACTATCTTCATTGTAGTTTTAAATTGCCATATGCTTAATTTGGGGCCACACCAGCTTTTTCAGCATTTATGTTCATTATTCATCAAATGAGTTTCATTTGAGTGAAGGGGACTATTAGTCATTTGTGTTTGTTTTACATAGAAATCCCAACTTCTGATTGTTCTTTATTAAAAACTTAAAACAAAATATTGAATGCGGTTTTATTCAAACAGCATCATAACACATCGTAATCAAGCAACATACAGTAAAAAATCCCCCATCCCCACAAAAAAAAATCATTAATTTTAACAAATCATATTAAAGTTCAAAATGCAAACTTCATGTCACAAAATAACATACACAATACATTTTTACATGCATCACTTCAATGGCGCTGGAAATTTTCCTTCAAGATGTAAATTTCCATTGTTTATCATTCTGTTTCAGTTAAGATAACTGAAAATTTACAGGTTGTTTGCGTTTTGAAGAATGTTTTTTTTATTTTAACATGCTTCACATTTACATTTAACCCCCCAAAAAACTTCAAAATTCTTGAAACGTCTAATGAACCTATAAGATGAGCTGTTCTTTTTTCTTATTGTTGTAACGGGTATTGGGGAATAAATTCCAAATTATACTTTTTGTTTAGAGAAGGTGTTATTAAGTATATTGCGGTGGCTTAACTTGACTAATCACATTTAAAACTTTAAGAATTTGTTTTCAGTTAGATTGCTGTTGGTTTGCAATCTTTATTTCATAAAACACCTTACACCAGTCATTTGCGAGGATTTCTATTTCTACTCTTTCAGTAAAGATGAAACAATGCATGACTTTTAACAAATCATCAATTATAATTATGAATCTGGAAATTCATAAAAAAAAAAATTCTGATAAAAATCACATAAAATAAGTACTTAATCTGCAGTTTTATACATAAAAAATATAGTATACCAATTTTTAATCCAATTTATCAAAACCCAATAAAACAGCATCTAAAAATCATTTAGTGACACTTTAACATACTTTTACAAATCACATCAAAGTTTAAAATGCAAACCTCATGTTACAAAATAACAGACCGACAATAAATATAGAGACATGTCAATACCTGAAATCTCGTGATTAATATTAAGCGACTTATTTTTATAAAGTAATTAATGGTTTATTTTAGTGACATGTGTTATGTACAATCGTAACATTAATACACATAATAGGAATTCAAACACCCGCTTCATCGGGCCTGTATGTCACTTTTAACAATATAACATTCAATTAAAAAAAAATACAGTGACATTGTGAATTGGGTTTACTGTGGTTTGAACATTTTTATTGTCTATAAACTTTACAACTGGGATTGGGTTTACTGTAAGTAATGGATTGTAAGTATATGCTGAATACAAGAATTTTGTGGTTTGTAACAGTGTACAAAATATCATTAAAATTCCGAGAATTCTTCTAGATAATGAAATTAAAATACAGGCTAACAATTTCCCAGTCAATAAAATTATGTTATTTCTCAGAAATTTCAAAATTTCAAAACACATGGTACATCATGTATTCAAATAGCGAAATGGTTATATGAATAATACTGCAAAGTATGCCAAATCTTTTAAATAAAATTCCTAATCGAATGAAAATATCTTTTGTTATATCCAGATTTATGCCGTAACAGCAACTTTTTTTAACTCCGTTGTGCCTAGTTAGCAGTACTCAGCTAAAAATTATCTTCTTTATTTTCAAAGCTGAAATACATGTAATAATAATTATGATCAAAGGATATAAATATAAGGATTATTAGCGTTTTGCACACTATTGAAAATTGAAAAAGTGTAGGAAAATTGTGTGTGAAACGGGAATGGTGCAAGTAGTCAGAAAATTAATTTCTATAGTTCATATTATAATCGTTGAATAGGGGAAAATGAAAACAAAAAGCAATGTCATACTTATTTATATCTTGCAGCTAATTTAAAACAAGATAATTATTTTTGTAAAATAGAAAATCATCATTATGATTCTGTAATTATTCCATTTTTTCAGCTTCCCACTTTGCCGCCATTCCATACATTAAATATATAATATGAAATCGTTATTTTTAATCAATTATTTTGTCTTTGATTTATTAATTTCATTCTATATATATATATATATATATATATATATATATATATATATATATATATATATATATATATATATATATATATATATATATATATATATATATATAATATAGATTAAATTAAGAAATGAATTCTCAATTCTCAGCTTTCATTTGTCTTAGTTTGAACTGTCGAGTTATTTTTTTCAATAAATCCACTTATATGTGGTAAAGCTTAGTAGAATACCTCAGGGGACGTCTTTTAAGTATCTATAAAAAGGGGACATTATATGTACAATTTTTTTAAATAATACAATAGTTTAAAAAAAAAAATTGGTAAATCACACAAAACAGACTATAATTGTTATCCAAAAAAATTACACTTATTGTTTTATGCCTAATTAACAAATGTGTGCAAAATGGGAAAACACCAAATTTAGAATAACCTGCAAAAATGAAAATATTAAACTTGAGTTAGATTGTATACTTAACCTCTAGGTCAGTTAGCAGCAGGGTCTTTGTAAAAAGAAAAGGTTTGTATCGTTTGCCGTATAAATAAAGGTATGTTGATATATTGTGCAGTGTTGTCATTTTGTCAGCTCAATCTAAAATACCAAACTAACATCATTCATCCATCTATACATGCACACATTAAAATAAGTGGGATATTTATTGTAATCGCCATTATTCTATTCACTATTTTCAGTAATTTATACCATCTAAATATATTTTTTAAAAAGGTAAGTATAAGTAAGTAAATGATTTATTACAGTGACATCTGCTATGTACAATCACAACAGTAAATATACATATAATAGGAATTTAAACATCCCGCCCATCGGGCCTATATGTCAATTTTATGTCACTTTTAACAATATAACATTCAATAAAAATACAGTGGTATTATGCATTGCGTTTATTTGATATTATATATTTTAGATTGTATGTGAGGAATTTTTGCGGTTTGGAAGGAAATTTGATTTATTTGATTTGGGTTAAATACAATACTGGTAAAAAAGATTGTGCTAAGATTTGAATATGAAGTACAGTGAAGTAAAAAGTGGCATTCTAAGAAAATACATTATACTAATTCGCCTAAGGTAGTTGTGTCATACAACAATATTTATTTATTATCATTTAAAACCGGAAGTTTTAAATAGTTGATTTGATTTAAGACATGGAAACGGAATTGAATTGCCTATTAAGTATATTGTAAAAAAAAAAAACGGAAGTGATCAAAGAAATCGTTAAATTTCAACTTTCTTTTTTTAAATCAATACTTATAAAAAAAAAATTTAAAAAAATTTTTTTTTTTTTTTAAAAAAAAGATAAAATATTATATTCAAATATATGTGCATGGGCTCAGGATTTCAGTTGTTTTTTTTTTTTTTTTGTTTTTTTTTTTTTTTTGAATTTACGAACAGTAACTCCATGAACAACAATTTCTAATTTTATTCTTTTGTGAATAAAAAAAGATAATTTGAATAAAAATCCCAAATTTGAATTTGAAATACTTGTTAAACCTAAAACTTTAAATTCTAATCAGAAAAACTTTCAACGTACTTAATAATATAATGATTATATTTGATAAAGGATAATAAAAAAAATGTTATGAATCTTTTTAAGAGATTCCAAAAAGATAGCATATCATATCGTGCAAAATTAAAAGTACATTTTTTGAACATTTTTGAACATTTTTCGAATAGTACAGCTGAAAAAATGAAAATCTGAAACGTATTTTTTAATCTAATAACTGTATTGTTATTTTTCCCCTTCATTTTATTTATTTATTTATTTATTTATTTATTTTTCTTATGTCCGTATCAAATCAATAGGACTGGTGCAGTACAATCAACATTATAGAAAATTTTACACCCAATACATTATTTAATAATTTTGGGTTTGCCTGGAATCTAAAATTTTCATTTCACACAATCTATTTTTAGCTCCGAAAATTTAATTCAGCAAAACGAAAGAAGAAATAAAACAACGGGAAGAGTTACCTTCTCTTTCTTCTCTTCAATATTGATCAGTGAAATGATTTCAATCAACTGTGGGGAGAAACTTCTGACATATTCGTGTCTCTTTTGATGCTCAAAAGTGAATCCTCGCTTTAATTTATCTTTACAGAGATTCTAGGGTAATATTAAAATCCACTGCATTGAATGCCATATTCAGTTCACACCACGTTGTACCGATTATTATTAGTATCTAACTATCTTTATAGATCTTGATCACATTTCAAAAAGTTGAAGTTTTTCACAATGAATGGAAAACAGAAAAATACTTATTTCACTTTACTCTTCCTATTCAAAAACTACGTTTTTTTTCGAACTTGAACTGTATGCTGCCTGCCTGCTTCAAACAGGCTAAGGCATCTATTTTCAATAGGGGATTTTGTAGCTAAAAATAGGACCCCAGAATACGCATTTCCGTGGCTTCAGTTCCGATAAAAATTAGTCCGCGTCGCAATTTTTACCTATTAAATTATTTCAATTGAAGAGAGAAGACATCATGGCAAGTATAATATTTTTGCTGCTTTTTTAGTGGTTAATATTGCCTAAATTTCTATTAAATAATCTTTTAAATTTTTTTTTTAAATTTTTTTATGCACGATGTAAATCAAATGCAATAATTTAAGTCTATTTTTTTTTCTTACTTCGTGTCGGACACATTTTCTACATATACATAATAAAAGAATTTTGTTTCTATAGTTAAAAAATGGCAATAATTTAATTTCGATTCCTCATTCTCAGAATTTTTTTCTGAACTGATTGCATATACATAATTATGTATATATCATATAGAGGTTTAATTTATTTTTCCTGTATTTTAGGGCAAAAGTGAACCAATTTTTGGCGAAAAACTTTACGATGCAATAATTGTCTATAGTCCAAATGACAAAGACAAAGCCCTAAATTTTTTATCAAGTTTAAAAAGAGACATCCTCCGGGATGAAAATTGTTTCCAGATTGCTCTGTTTGATGACCCTAGAATCTCAAGTATAAACGAGGCATTCCAAACTTCTTCTGTGGCATTCGTGTTACTGACCAAAGACTTTTGTGAGTGTGATTGGCCTGGGTTTTCCAGCAATCAAGTTGTAATGGAGTCCCTGTATACGAAAACGCCTTGTACCATTGTACCGGTCATTCTTCCGAACGAATTTGGTGGAAATATGTTCAAAATCCCCATGGGTTTAAAATGTATGAAACAACTTCGGCTGAATTTTGAAGATGAACTTGTCAGGGAAAGTGTGTCTAGATTTCTTACCTTAAAAATCCGACAACGTCTTTCAAAGATGATGGAGGTCTAGATTACTAGGCGGCAGCTTCTGTCGGAATCTCTTCGCACAATGACAGTGACAAAGAAATGGCAATATTCTACTAACCATAGGCATTACTAACTCTCAAAACGGCAGCATAGATTGTAATAAACATTTTTTTTTTAATTTTAAATAACGCTTAATGCGTTCCTATCTTTTGTGTATTAAACGTATATCATAATTTTCAGGTTTTGCTATGTTCATGATTTTGCTTGGTTGTTTGTTTTAATTTTATTGATGAATATTTAATAAATGTTCAACACTTATAACATATTCTAATCGTTACCTTATTATCCTTTGTGTCCTCTATATCAACTGTTGCTATATTTAAAAATTGCTAAAGCTTCCAAATTTCATTAAACTAGAGCTTTCTGGGTGTATACATATCCATCTTCAGGTTTATGAAGAAGTCATTTTAAAATTTGCATTCGAATTTATGTAAATTTCATCATTTTTTTTATTTATTTGTGTATTGTATGTTTACTTTTGTATCCAGTTCATTCAATCTTTATTTCCCCCATTTGGAGATTTGATAAACAAAACAACAATTACAACATATTTACATCAATGAATATATATTAAAAGAAAATAATAAAGAAAAGTGATTTTAAAAAAAAGAAAAAAGAAATCAATTTTAATATTGTTTAATGGACTTTTGAGCTTGAATACTGTTCGTTATCTCTACATATTTCATTCAACAACTCAATTTTCCCCTGTGAACCAAAAAGGAAATAAAATTGACAAACGATCCACAACAATCTGAAACTTCTTTGTCAATGCTAAGAGAACAATTCTTTGTTTACAATAAACATCAAACTGGCAATGAACGTTGTACAAAATGTTTGTAACATATTTTTACAAAGAAGAATTGGAAGAGACTAGTTCTATGTTCTTCAAGTAAATAATCCAGGAAACCTCTTTTTAAACGGAGAGATAAATGGTCTTAAAATGCTTTTTATTCTATGGTCGATACTAAGATCTTAGTTTGCAAAACAATCTGTAGTAAGGTCGAATAATGCCTGACATTTTTTCATAAAAATTGTTAGGGTATATTTTTTTCGTATCAAATTTACTACGGATTTCTCTGTTTACCCGGTCATGACAAAGAGCACACGGCGGGTGTATCTGGTTTGACGGGGGATGCTTACTCCTCTATGGCATCTGATCTCACCTCTCATCTCATCATATTGGATAGATTTTTTGCTTTTCCTACATAAACGAAATTTTTTAAATATTCTTAAAGTATAACGAGAAGTATTTTTTAGTCCATTTTATTATCTTTTTTTTTGGTACAGGTGTTTTAAATTAAACAAAATGACGACGATGAACTATGTGAATTTTTTTTATATAATTATTATTACTTCATTTCTCGAAGAGTTTTACATGCGCAGTTTTGGTGGATATTTTAAAGAAAACAACTTTGGTTGAGATTTCTTATTGGCATATGCAAGAAAGACTTTACAAATAAAACTTTAATTAGTCACCCAATTCATATTTATTGTTCTGAATAAAGAACTGCAAGGCATTTAAATCAAATGTTTTTATTCGTATTTGTGAGGAATCATATCTTATGAGCTAAATATTTGAACAAATAATGTGAAATGCAGTCAGAAACTTTGAGGTTTAATTAATTCTAATGAATTCATAATTCATAATGATACTTATACATATCATAAAAATCTTCTGAAAGAAAAAAATGTGTATATAACTTGAAATTGTCAAAAGTTTACAATTAGAAAGCGAATGGTAATTCTCTTCAATCTCGTTGTTTTGACCCAGAATTTGCTAGCAAAATTGCTTTTTGTCAGTGGAACAAAGGGACATTACTCATCACCTTATATTAAAACAACTATTGATTTGTAGTTATAAGCATTATCAAGTGTGCAGGTATCAGTTATAAAATGTGAGAAATACTTTTAGTCCAGTCAAAACATAGATCTCTCATATCATAAATTATGTAATTTCTGAAAAATACCTCATCATGGATTTCACCATCTGATGCAATATTCCCGGTCTGTATTTTCAATTCCTTTCTTAAATAATATACAACTAGAAAACTGCTGACAGGAGCAGTTCTATCATCACCAAGTTTTCATTAAATTACATCATCATTTCCTTATTCAAATCAGGATATTTATGTCTGTGTGGTACTTTAAAATAGAGATCAAAGAACATCAAAGTTCAGTATCAGGGTCAACATTTAAAAAAATAATCCCACCAGAACTAATTTATACTTTTATTTATTCGTTCATGAATCATACTTCATCAGACGTTATGATAATGTACGAGTATAATTACAAATGAAACAATTTCAATGTCTAGTTCATATATTTCTTTTCCTTTTATTTCTTCATTTTATAAAACATCTGCATAATTAGCATGTTCATTTACATGATTTTTTAAATAAAACACTAAAAAATAAATACTACCAATGGTTAAGAACAGAACTACAGCAAAACTAGTTATCTGAAATGAAGAAAAACAAGAATTGTAAATTTATCTTCTTTTTCATTAAAAATTATAATTTATAAGTATTAAAAGTATTGAACTTTGTATTGCTACGCAGTAAATGAGTTTTGGAAAAACTTTTTCTTCTACAGGAAATTATATTTAAAATCCTTATAGGACAATACCTTTATCATCGTTTCATGTTCTTGCCAACTTTTTCTCAGAAAAATTCTATACAGAGACACCGTACACGGTATATATGCTTCGGTCTTTGGAGAATCTCGACATCTGAAAATACAAAAAAAAGAACACATTACAATAAGATCTTCTAAAAATAAACGTTCAGCGAGAGATTATAGCGCAACAGGAAATGAGAGAGTAAAGAGGGACAACAGAAGTTATTTTTCCTACTTTGACCTACAAACCTTGAGTAAAGATGATGAAGGATTTCAAACTTAGAACTTTGTTGGTATTTTGGTATTCTCAGCTTCTGCCATATGTGTGGAAAAATTTTAGCACCTTCTTCGAAAATATAAGCCAGATTGAATATGCCCTTAAACAGAATAAAATTCATTATATTAGCTTCATAGCACTAGTATAACACTCGTGTTAGTGTACTTTAAAATTCTATAAATTATTAAATTTTTCATAATATCATAGAAAAGAGTATACATTAGTGTTGTTTTACTTTCTTTCAATTTCATGGTTTAACACGAAGATATAAAAGATTAAACATTTTTTCCAAAATTATGCAGGCTAAATCAGTACTTGAGGGTCTCCTTTTGACGCAGCCAGAGTATAAAATTCCGCCGCTTTGTCGGCGTCTCTTTGTCCTCCACAGCCGTACCAATAATAATCCCCCATTTTTAGAAAAGCTGGAAAATTGCAATTTACACAAATTCTACAAAATATCATCGAAAGTACTTTTTATTAAAGAAAATATTTTAAGCAACCAGGAAGCTTATTTCTAAATTCGTTTTGTTTCATATCGCTCTTGACATCAATGTTTTACCCAGAGAGCATTTATTTTAGGTGACGAATAAACAGAGCGAAACATTATTTATGGAGCAATTGGAAATACACTATATGATTATCCTCGCATTAAGTATTTATTTAATGGGTTTAAGTTTAAATGTAGTACCCATTTCCGGGTTAAAATATTAATAGTATATACATGTAGTATAAAATAAGTTTTGAGGAAAATCCCAAAATTGAGTGCATTACATCAAACTTTTTTGTACAAGTTTTGTTTTACCGTAGGAATCAACAAAATGGTGTTCTCTCCGCGTCGACAGATTGTAGTTCCTCCACTGACAATCTTTCTCAATAAATGAGGAAGTCCCATCCTGTCAATGATATTGTTTACTGTAAATTGATTGTTGAAATACATAATTTTCATTCCGTGAATAAAAACACCAAGTATTATAGTCATCACAATAGGAACAAAATGCAAAAAGAAAAGAACATTCTACCCACAAAAACTGTACTCTTTCATATTGAAAAAAAAATTATTTTTAAGAATAAAGTCTGCTATAGAGCGATTTAAAGAGTACTTTATTTTCTTCACACAGCCACGCTAAATTGAAAGTTCCTACTTCTATCCCAGCTTCAGCGGCCATCATATAATACAACATGGCGAGAAAACTGAAAATAGGTGAACAATTATATCTTACAGTTCAAAACGTCTAGCAAATATGTGAGTAATTTCATCACTACAGTCATTTTTGGACGTTGTGGCTTTATCTTATTTCTTCCTTTAAGAAAACATGATTTTTTAATGGCGTTTGAATATTTTCTGGTTGGAATGCAAATGAATAATTTAACCTGGCTTCACTTTCATCTTTGTAACGACAACAAAATCAGTTCAAAAATTTAAATATTAACACTTCTTAGTGTATATTAGTGCTTTAGTTTCGTATCTGACCTTTGTGTCCTTACTGTTTGACTTACTGATCACCATGTCTGTATGAATGGAGGCCAGAGCGAAGAACTAGTCCTAAATGTGGATTCTTCTCTGCGATAAATCTAACCCATCTGAAAAAAAATGAAACCCTTTGAACTAGTATGACAATTGGTTTAGTACCTTTTTCTTTTAACTATTGTGAAGCAAAAAAGAAAGATTTCATAATTTAAATTATAGGGAATTATTTTAATTGAATCTTACTCTACAGCCATTTCTATGTTTCTGCTGGAGCGAGGAGTTCCCTTGTGATGAAGATAGGCCAAGCTTATTCCCGCATCAAACTGATTTCTTGTAGCCGCATAACTAAAATACTGCAACGCCAAATCCTACAGAAGATGTTAAAAAATACAAATTAAAGATATCCTAAATAGTGTAGGATTTACAGACAAAAAAATGAAAGTGTCAAATATTCTTACATACAGGGTCAGCTGTTTTATTTGGGTAGTTCCCATGGAGATGCAGAATTCCCAGATGAAAAGCGGCATCTGGATTGCCATGGCGATATGCATCTTCAAAGTATGCAGCTGCCTGAGTGAAATTCCTACCAAAGTTCATCGCATACCATCCGAGGGCATTCAAGGCTTCTGGATTTTTCTGCATTTCACAAATGAAGATTTTTAAAGGTAAAGATCTTATTTAAAATACTAGTATTACTAAATGCTGAGGAATATGATAAATTATTTTTTTTAAAAATCCAAAATTCCTTCATTTGCCTGCAAACACAACAAAAGGGTCAATATTGTTTCTGTGAAGGAATTAAGCTTAACTTTAGTTTTATTTCACTACAATTAGGATTTGTGAACTCTCAATAATGCGAAAGATTCTTGTAAATATGCCCAAAAGATAAAATCCTGAAAGAAAGGAAATACAAAGGAAAAGATGGTTTACAGTGAAAACTTTTACCTGTTCTGCTGATTTTCTAATGTGAGATAAACCTTCAGATACATTTTTCTTCATCCCTTGCCCCTAGTAAATATGTACAACTTGTTAAAAAGATATAAACGATAATTTTATTACAAATGTGATTATGATAAGAAAGCCATCATATTTACCCTCATCAATAATACACCATAATCATACATGGCAGAGGGATCTTTCGATTCAACACCCATCTTATAATATTCGACAGCTGCTTGCACATTACGTTTTAAACCCTGTGTACCCCAAAACATCATCCGGGCAACGTGTTGCTGAAAGTGTAAAATTAATTAAATGAAACACCTCAGATTTCTTCTTTCGAAAAGTTTATCGACATTTATATTTATCTAAATCCAAATAATTATTCATGCAGGAACTGTAATAATATAAATGTGAATTTCTTTGGATTACCTGTGCTGTAAACACGCCTTTCTTTGCCTGATGGATCCACCAATGAAATACATCCCCATCTTCGTCCGTCTGCTCTCGAAGATTGGCGTCATCTGTCAGACGTATTGATTCAGTGAGTACCTGTTTAATAAATTCTTTCTTATATGAGTACAATTAATCAAAAGTGTTAAAATAATTGTAATTTTTGTACCAGTATCTTACATCGGTTTCTTTATGTTTTTCACGGTCCTCCCTCGTCGTATCAGCTACGTACTTAAAATACACTACAAAAAGTATATTTAGATTTGAAGCCAACGTGAATGAACAAAATCGTACAAATATATGAATATAACTAATTAGAATGTAAAGTGAAAAATTAAGAGACTGGACATTTACTGTATGCTTGTTCCAGATCTAATGGTAATGTGTCCAGTCCGTTTTTGTGTTTATTTCCAATTGCCAGAAATGACAGTCTATGGTTGTCTAACGCCGCCATCATTAAGTAAGCCAAAGCCTGTCGGCATAAGTTTTATACATTAATAGAAGTATGTTATTTAAAAACATACTAAATCTTAAGAAAGAAGTAAAATTATAGTACCTGCATTTCGTCGGCTTTGACTAGAAAACCGTTGTTCAGGATAACTGCCACGAGAAACATTGCGTCGTTGTCGCCCAGACAGGCGCTTTGCTTCAACACTGGTAAAAGTCTGCCGGTGCGATATACATCAGCGTCCTGAAGAAACACTTCATTAAAATTCAGTTATAAATGAAATATTATTGTTGACAGTTATGCGTTGCTTTTTATTATTTATGTTTTGTATTACTTTCTTTTAGTACATCATGAAAATATAATTAAGAAACAAATGGGATACTCACTATTTTCTTTTTTAGAACTTTAAATAGTCTGGAACCTATCAGCTTCAAACTCGAGTCACTAATATCTGAGGCCAAACGGAATCTCCTGAGGACCTGATCCAGAATCCTGTAACTTTTGGGTGCAGGGGCGTCCAAATACAAACAGGAATCGTTCCTTGAAATTTGGTTCAGAGTTCGTTGACGGATGGTTGCAAAATATTGGAAAGAGCTCCCTAAAGTATTTTAAATATCAAATATATATGGCATAAGTTTTTGTTAAATATTTGATTTTTTCTGCGTAAAATAGTATTTTTTTAATATTTATGGCTCATGCTAACTAACTTTTGTACTCGTCACGTAGTCTTCTAAGTTTGTAAACTCTTAATCTCTTTTTTGTCCACTGTAGGAAAGAGAGACATTTGTCCTCCCGTCTAGAAAGCTGCAGCTCAAACATTGGATGTTGGGGACCCGGAAAAGGTATCTATATCACACAGGGAAATATAGTTGAACAGTTTTTACACCCAATTACATGTGTACATCTTTTCTTATACTCAAATTTCTCAGGGAAGGTTCGAAACTTATTTCTATTAATTTCAAAATATCACTGCCAGATGCATCACAGAAAAATCTGTTTACTTAACCTGTTATTCTCTCAATGGAGAATCAACTTACCTGGGTAGGTTGTTTGATCTGATTTCTGTAATATGTGGCTTGACCTACGTAACCTCTAAAAGCGGACATGCCTTCCATTCCTCCAACAACCATGAGTCCCTCCGTGTCGTTCATATACACTGACCCGGGGATCCTTAAAACAATAAATATCTTTGTTGAAATTTGAATTTTTGCACTAGGATGGTTTTCGATATTTGAGTTCATAGGAATTTTACCACATCAAACAGAACAAACTACATGCATCTTGATACAGTATTTGTTTCAGACTTACCGGAATGATGTTTCAAATGTTTTATTGAAACCCGATCCATGATGAAATGTTATTGTCCACTGAAAATTTATGCATTATATCCTATAATAATATTGTTTTTAGAATAAAACAGCAATTTAATGATATTTTCTTAAATAATGTGAATGAACAAAAAGACACAGGAATGTATTGCAGTCTCATTCAATTTATTTCTTCATTTTTATATTACCATTTGGTTATCAAGAGTAAAGACGAATCTAAACCATTGGTGCAGAGGTACGTTGAAATTAGTGATAGCTGCTATATCTTGTCCATGAGGTTGGGTGATCTGAATGTGGAAACTCCCTACAGTATGTAACAGGATCAAAGATAATCTTCAACGTTTCAATACTGAGTAGTCTGAGTACTTTTACATTTAAAACTAGCGAGTCATGTAAGTTTAAAGCTGTTAAAACTTTTTAGGAAATCTGTCACTTTATAATATTCATTATTATTGATTGATTGTATGTTGTTTAACGTTCTCTTCAAGAATTTTTCTCTCATATTGAGACGTCACCATGTACCGGCGAAGGGCTTTAAATTTAGACCTTTACTCGGCACTCTGTGCTATTGAACAGTGAGGGATCTTTATCGTTCCGACGCCTGCCGTGAAACGGGGCCTCGGTTTTTTAAGGTATCGTCCGAAGGACCCGCAACTTTCACTTCAAAGTGCCGAGCACTTGGCGAAGGAACAGTTGCCACCTATTTTGTATCGACTTAGGTCAGTCACGACCGAGATTCGAACTCACGACCTTCTGATCACGGAGCGAGCGTTCTACCGACTGAGCTACCGTAACGGTTTCATTATTATTGTTGTTATCTTTCTATGTCCATTTGAAAAGTGTTCCAATCTATTTATAAAATAAAATCAAGAACATATAAAATATGCATTTTTCACCAAATTTGCTGAGGAATCTTAAGATTCTTTGTCTAAACAAGGCAAAGACTTTCGTTCATTTCACCAAAGACCCCTCCACAACATGTAAAGATATCTTGCATTCAAACACCAAACAACATTTACACCATCCACTTTTGATGACAGATTTAAAACTGATATGTTGATGGATTACCATCTTTCGTCAGAAAAATCAATGGCGTCAGATAACGTGACATCTTGTCTATTCGAGTGATGATGCCACATAGTCCGTCTCGACAGTATTCCAACACATACAACCACACAGACAGTGTAAAACTAAAGAGAAAAGGGAAAACATTTATTTTTGTTTGTGAAAATGGATTTGGCATATATAAGGCATTACTAGCTCAAAACTATTTTATTTTCCTGAACGCCTAAACATGCAACTATGAAAAAAGATTTATAAGTATCGGTAACTGAGTTGGGTAATACAAATTCACAAAGCTTCCATTTGGGACTAGACACCTTGTTATTCGTGTATAGATTATAGAAGTCGAAAAAATAATCGTCATTGATAGCAATAAGACTTTTACCTTGGACTCTGTAGCATTAACCGCCTCCCATTTTCTAGCTCAGGGTCTTTGTAAGGTTGAAAGGTTCTCACAATACCGTAAGGAAGGCCAGTCATCACAGCCGGGAACTTTATAATCTCGACAGAATCTACAAAAAAAACATTTATCATTACATGCCTAATATATCTTAGATAGACCAATGTATAGACTGTGAAATGTAGCATACCTTCTTCGTGTGAGCATTTCGGTATCAATTTTAAGAACATATCAAAAAGTAATTGAGTGTTCCATGGTACACAAACATCTTCAAAATTTCTTCTTGGTCTGGAAAAAGGTGGCGGGTATTCCACAAGATAACTAGCTTTCACAAAAGCTCGCATAAACGCGTCGTGGTGGCGTTTTGCCGTCTGCCATTGCCATTCATCTAAAATCCACACACGGATTTTAGTGTCCGACAAAAATTCGTAATATTTTTGAAATATATCTGGTTTAAACGCATATCTCTTTGGAAAATGCGCTTTTACTGTTAATACTCTGTTAATGTCTTTAGTCTTTTTACATCTCCAGGCTCTGTGGAACAGTCTTTTCTTTGCCTGACTCTCTGTGTTTGTAATGATTTCTATCCCAAACACTTTATTGTCGCTGCAGTGGTACGATATTTTCAGTCTTTGTGAATCTTGAACTGATTTCGGTGGTTCTATAATCTGTATAATGTCAGTCTGTCTGTGTGTTTTGGAATCTACTACAACTGACAACGTCTCTGTTTTACCCTCTTCATTCTGTGTAAAAGAAAAAACAGATTATTCTTTCGTATATATTACATTAATTTGACGCATATCGCAAGTCTCTCTAATAATAATAGAAAAAAATAATCTTTTGAATTTTATTACCGATCTCATTATTAGTAGTGCGCTGATTTCAATATAGAATTTTTTTAAATAACTGCAACGCAGAACATTTGTCCAATAATTGATTTCTTTGTTCAAGAGATGACAACATGTGACACGCTGGTCCTTTGAAAAGAAAGCAACACATAGAAACACGTGGTCAAATCAATCAAATGATGAATCCCAGGGTTGATCTTTTGATCATTTTTGTAATTTCATTATATCATTTATTTCATTATATACTACAGTATTCTTGTTCACTGGTTGAGTTGTACTTTACATATCATACTCAGTATGATGATTAATGATTGTTGTTTCTTTACAGTTTGTCAGTCCTTTACTTCAGTTAGTGAAAAAACTGAAGATTCAATGAAAGGTTGAAAAAAAAAAAAAAAAAAAAAAACCATAAAAATGAACATTAGCTTTTAAATTAATAATTACGTATATAAATTATTTTTAACGCCATCATTAAATTAACAATTTTAATTCACAATTTTTTCTTAAAGTTTCGATTCATAAGACTTTCGATAAGACTTAAATCAATCATACTTTTGAAAGTATCATAAAAATACATTTAAAATAATATAAAGATTATATCTTATTGACCTTTTTCACCACTTACCAATTGTAAACATTTCCCATTTGATATAAACAAACTCAGAAGCTGGGCTACTACCAACACAGACATGACCATCTGTGCAATGCGTCTATTGATTGTGACGAAACTTATACTCGTGTCTTCCTTTTTAAATTTAGAAAAAAATCTTTAACATGACTATATAATTTTATGTCTGTCATCCAGAGAGGTTAAGGAAAGGGGGAGGGGGCATATGTTCGTACCGATATGCAGCTTAGTATTCTAACATCTGATAATCATAAATGTTATATATTTCACCACTTAAAAATTAAACTATTATAACATTTATTAGCAGAAATTGTTGCATTTATCCTTCAATACAGTAGAACAGAATTCTTCGATTGTGAAGTGTTTAATTGACCTTATTTTATTAAAATCATGGTACAAGCTTTCAATAAAATTGTCACATGATTAATACTGCAATTATATTGAAAATAACTTGTTTTATTATCAATTATACATAACAGTGATGATTAGAACAGCTTCCCATACATATGCAGTTTGGTCAACTGGCTGGATTGAAATTATTTATACACTTGGGCATAAAATGTGTATTTTGTTGTATTTTGGAATACCTTGAAGGAATCTTTGTTTTATATTAACTTCTTTTGTTTGTAAAACACACTAACAATCGATTTTTGTGGTTGTTTACAAGCGTAGCTGCGACTACGGCAGCCTGGCGTGTTATTGCAAAATTATCTTTTGCCCGATTGGATTTTCTTATATGGGAGGATGTTGGAGACTGCTGGTGAAGAAATTTTTCTGTTGCTATTTTTTTTTAGGGTGGAACACGTAACATGTTGATTGACTGGACTATTCACCTTTAAACATGGATATTTTGCTAATTTTTTTTTTAAAGAAAAGACATAAATCTCGTTGGTTTTTAAAATACCATTTTAAAGGTACGGGTTATCTCCCGCTTGTTGTCAAACGACGATTGTAAACAGACATGCATTCTTTAATTTAATCCTAGTCTTTGTCTTTCCTTGCGTCATGATTTGACATGTCCTATAACAGAGTGTCCAGTGATGGTACCACCACAATAACCAAACAACCGTCTGCTCAACTTAGTCCGGCAGAAAATGGCGGTAACAACACAGAGCTTGAAACTGGACTGGAATCAATAGAGGATCTTGACCGGATTATTCTAAGTCAAGAAATAACTGCTTGTGGATGTAGGTGTCAATAATTTGAATACCAGAATTATAAACGTGAAAATAATTTCCTGAAATTTGTTCTTAAAATAACAAATTAGGAGTTGAATTAAAGAAGCGATTTCTCTTCATTGATGATGGTATTTTGCAATATGATAATAAAAAATTATAATACTTTCTCAGTTACCAATTATAAATAAACAAATAAATTCAGATTAGTTTATTTTTTCAACCCTATTTTTCAGTGGTTTGTCCATGTTGTATTGGCCGAGGTGCTTACACTGTACATAATGGAAACGAAACCGAGGAATTCTTATTTGAAATCAGAGAAGGTACGACGTAAATATCTCAATAATTAAATTGCTAACCATAAAATTATTTATATAAGTCAGTTGTGAAAATGTTTGTCTTATTTTAAGAAGCACATTAATTCATATAAATTTCTTAAGCATATGCATAGAATTTTTTAAATAATGTTTTCATACGGATGGTATATATATCTATATATTAAACTTTTCATACTAATATTATATCTATACATGTATATATTTGCATGTATATTTGAGTATTTAATATTTAATACATTGTTAATTAAAGTTGTGTAAACTTTAAAATTTGTTCCCACTCTACACTCGAAATATGTGACTGATACAATGTTTATTACAAGTATTATATATACAAACTTCATTTTGTCATAGATGAAAAATCTTTTATTCAAATAGCGTAAATGATACATATCAAATGAATATATATATATATATATATATATATATATATATATATATATAAAAGAATATGGAGGATGTAATTCATCAACAAAATTTAAAGAACTGGAAATTCTTCTTTTTTCCCCTTTAGAAAAACTAAAACTTTAAATTGGTTAAGTATTGGCTAAAGGCTTCAACTTTTTATAATTCCAACACCTGGGCAACCCAAATACCAACCGTATATCATAAAATTTTCGATTTCAGTTAAGTAATTTGCCTTTTTGTTTTTGGCAAATCCTATAATAGTTAAAACAAAATGTGAACTTGATTTAAACACGTCTTACCACAAGAAAAGGTTGAAAGCAAAATCTTAGTGCATATCGAAGCCTTGTTCACAAAATGTTCTCTTTATATCTGAACTATTCTGAAAATGAACTTCGGATTCATCCCTAAAAATTAGCTCATTTGCGTGTTTTAATGTAATTCGTTGATTGATCTATGTATTGTTTATTTTGTTCTCCTAGCCTTTGTCTGCTTATACCGCTCGTGTCTTGGATCTGGGAGAGATCTAACTACACGTATGCAGGATGCCAGCGACAATGACGTAGGAAGATTTCTTAGAGAGGTGGCCATTAGGGGCTGCTGTATTTGCTCCTGTGACACCCCAGAACTTATTGTAAAACACCCGCCTCGTTCACTTCTAGGAGTTGTCAGAGAAAGGTTAATTTTAAACCTTAATGGTTTGACTATTATGTAACTGGCATAAAAGTACCATACTTAACAATTTCCCTCTAAAAAAAAAAAAAACTATTGAAAATGATTATTTTTACGCCTTTTCTATTCCTTTTAGAATTCAAATATCATGATGATTTCTTGAATTTTGATCTTGGGGTTGGAATTTATCTATTTATAACTGTCGTTAAGACGACTACTTAAAAAGTTCTGCCCAATTCCTACGTAATTAGCAATAAGATATATTCAATCCGCTTGTCTAAAGATGACTGTGTTCGAACTTTACTCAGATGACAAAAAATCTAGTGAATATTGAAGAGATACATGTTACATCGTATATATAATTTAATTTCTCTTCAGACGAACATGCTGTAAACCGAGTTTTGAGATTGTAGATAGTACAGGAGAAATTCTGTTTACTTTCTTAAATGACTGCTGCTATTTCCAGTACTGCGGTTGGTGCAAGGACGCCACAGTGTATGTAAGTTTGTTTGGATAGTTTACTTTGTTTGAATTTCTTGTTTAACGAAGTCAGTATTGAAAATGTTTTACTGTAACTTGAAGTATAACTTCCTCTTTTTCATAATTGTCTTATAGATCAAAGATAGGGATGACGAAACTGTCGCTAAACTTGTTAAGAAATCATTCCACAATTCGAAAGAGTTGATAGGACTTGAAAATAAAATTCACATTGAATGTGAGTAATCTATTATCTAGAAGAGTTTTCGATTCCACCTTTAAAATAATCTTTTAACACATAAATTGAAATGTGTATTGAAAAAAAGACTTTAAAGTAACGTTTGAATTTTCTCTTCATCTTCGTTCTTAACAGTATATAATGACTGTCTGTGCATTTTTCAGTTCTGAAGAAGATTAAGGCGCAAGAAAAGTTATTAGTTATTGGAGCGGCCATGTTGTTGAGTCTTAATAATTTTGAAGACAGCAAGCGGTATTGTTGTTAACAAGCAAAACTTTCTGCGTATACAGCCAAAATCGACGCATTTATACTTAACGTTTAGTTTATGTGCTGTGTAAAAGATTTTTTTCTATAAAATGATATTTGTCAATGAGATTTGAAATGCTTTCTGTAAGACGAGCGTTAGAGATTTTTTGCAGTGATTTGCTGTTGAGCAGTTGTTATATAAATAGCATTATTTCATTCAAAATAAAACCTGTTTGTTACAGCTTACCCATATCAACTTCGTTTTTCTGAGTACATCACTACTGTAAATGTGGTATTTAGAATGCTGATACAGGAAAAGGATTCTCCTTAATACTGCTTATGATGCGGAAGACTGTCATTTCACTTGATATAATTACCAAGGTTTCGCGTCGCCCGCGTGGCGCAGTGGTTAGAGCATCTGCTCTAGAGTCGCGGAGTAAGGAGTTGATCCTTGCGTCGCGGGTTCGAATCCCACTGTGGGACGTGGAGACCAGTCCTTCGGATGAGACCGTATAAACCGAGGTCCCGTGTCGCAGTAGGTGCTGACACGAAGAGATCCCTCACTGCTCAATGGCCCTAAGTGCCGAGTATAGGACAAAATTTGCAGCTCTCCACCAGCAAGTGGTGGCGTCTCCATATGAGTGAAAAATATGAGAACAACATACAAACAAACAAACCAAGGTTTCGCTAGAAGTTCTCTCAAAAACAAAAAAGCTTTGATTGTGAAAGAATGCATTACTGAAGTATACACTGTGTAATCAATGAATGGGTTAGCACTGTGTTAAATTTCCCAAAGAAAACAAGTTTCCTGCAAAAGTTTCCTTTTTTTAATTTGAATTACCTGTTTTAAAAATTAATCAAGAAACAAATATAGTTGTATATTGCAATCTAAGGAAGTAAAAAACACAATTTCTTTTTAGAGAAAAGGTACAATTTTATATATATATATATATATATATATATATATATATATATATATATATATATATATATATATATATATATATATATATATATACCATGAAAGTATGCTTTTATACTTATGTTAGTAGAAATTGAAACCTAAACCATGCCTGCAAGTTAAAGTATAGCCTTTGCATGTCTATCATATTCCTACCAATGATTGTCAGGGAAGCTCAAAGATGCTTTACATGGTGCATAACTTCAGTTCTGCGACGATCTCAACTGAAAATAGACGAAACACATTTTTTTTCAAACGTTATCAGGAAGATAATGTTTTCGAAAATAGAGAAATATATATTTATACCATCGTCTTTTTTAACTTCAAATACCTTCTCTTCATTTTTCTACCAGAATCTACTCTGCTCTGTTTTTTGCCAAAAGATGATGACAACATACTTTGAATTGAAAAAGAGCATTTATTACAAATGCCAATGAAGTAAAAAACAATATAAATATACGGCAGTATTGTTTAATATTAAATATATGTTACACCTGTTACAAGGAAAAAATTAAAAACAACCCAAAAAGTACATACAAGATGAAGTGCATATCTTAAATTTGCCCTAATAAATGTAGAACAATTATGCATATAAAACTGTATAGGTATACACAATCAATAATGCATGACTAAAAAATGGCAAAAAAGATGGGACTTGATTAAAAAACATGCTGCCCATACTTAAAATAAAATGGCAAATAATGGGACTAGCTTGAATAAAACAATATTGGAACCAAGTTTATAAAGGTTGCAAAGAGGTATGTGTAACAAAAGAACAAGTAACAATCTTAAATTGACATTAACTGTAACACAATTTGAGCAAAATGTCCAAACATGATGTGACTAGCTTCATTTAAACATTTTGGCACTGGGGGATGAAGGGGAGGAGGAGAGTCAAAATCTTCTCCCTTCTAAAATTACAGTAAACAAAGATCACGTGATCAGGAGTAATGGATTCTGTAAGATGAGAAACTAAACTGCAGGAATGACAAATTCCGGAAAATACAAAATTAATATTTCATGATAGAGATGTTATAAATTACTTTATGCTTCACATAAATACAAATATATATGCAGCAGGAAACAAGTATTTAAAAAGAACAAAAAAAAGCGTCAGAAAAACTTCTCTCTGAGATATGATGTTTTATAATATGGGTCCAACCCTTTTAAAATAATAAATTATGATGAAGAACGATTTCATATTTAGATGTGTTTTGTTTTTCAGTATAAAGCAATGCAAACATTACGAATAGCATCGAAACAACGTGATGCAAGTATACAATAATAAACCTAAAAAATTACAATAGTAAGTCATGAATTTTAAATAATTTCTGTATAAAATATATATTAACAATGTATATTATTATACTTTTATAACATCACACTAAAATATTGTATATTGTTTTACATAATTGATATGTTGTACTCAGTTTCATCAATTTTCAAGTTTATCAGAGCAATTAAGGAGTTATACTTATTCAATAATTGTGTTTTCCGATTACATCCACAATAAAAACCAATGATTATATTTTTCCAGTGAATTTATTATAATTTTTTCTGTACAATATTCTCCAAGAAACTCCAACAAAATACCTCTTGTTTCTATATTTACCATTTTTTATTGTTGTCCTTTATCTTTTCTATAATGTAAACACTACTGACTATTTTATATTCAAAGAGTAGAATTGTACAGGTAGGTAATCTTTTATGGGTTCCCATATTGTACATTGATTAAAACAGATAAACATTTCTTTACTGTTTATTTTACATCTCTTTCTTAATACCAATCATAGTCCCCATTTTTCAGGACAACTGAAAATTTGCAATGTATCAGAGGCAAATACCAATAGTGGTGTTTTTATCAATCAAAAAAAACATTATACGACCAGGAAGAGTTAAAAAGATACTTCCTAAATTGAGCTTCTGTGACTTACGGTATTTCCTGCTTTGTGTTCAGTAATAAATTGGGTGATTGACTCTTACTGACTCCAATCTGCTTCTGGACTAGGATAGAAATAGAAACAGTATTCATACAGATAAACAGCTCTTAAAATTATTCATAAACATCCGAATAAAGAGAGTGACACGGGCTTTTTAAAAGGAGAAAGTGGAAAAAAGTAATATCTTTGGGAAAAAAAGTATTTTTTAAAAAAAATATGTATAAATATATTCGTTATCATTAATTTCGTCAATGTGTTTAAGGGAAATCCAAAGTTTATCATCAATATCTATACCATACGAAATCCTTTCGAAAGAGTTAAGTAAATTCTCGTATTTAAACTTTTAATTTAGACTTTTTTTTTTAGGTCATCAAAATTTTATATATACATGAGAAATCAATAGACAGTTCCATCGAAGAGATTTAAGCAAGAGTTATTTCCCGTTGGTCCTCGTATTTAAAGTCAACATGCGCCGATTTCTTCATTATTCAACCAAATTAAACTTGTTATACTGGGCACTGAGGTGTAGATAACACTGTTTTCCTTACGAATATACGTTGGTTAAAGCATACTTTAATTCATTATTGTAAAGATTTCTCCCCATTTATTTCTGCGGTACATGTTTAAAATCGGTTGCATAACGAGGAAAAATCACCACTATATGCATGACCTACAAGATGACTCAACTCGTCGGTTCCTTAAACTAAAATTTGCAACAAAGGAATATAAATTATGCTGTCGACATTAGTAACATTCTTAATCATAAAAAGTCTTACATTCCACCATATATCAAGTTGAAGTCTACACTCTGCATTTCCTACAGATCTAGATATTCCCAAACTGTCGCCAAAGTGGCGCAGTGGTTAGAGCGTTCGCTCTAGAGTAGCGGAGTAAGGAGTTGATCCTTACGTCGCGGTTTCGAATCCCACTGTAGGACGTGGAGACCGGTCCTTCGGATGAGACCGTATAAACCGAGGTCCCGTGTCGCAGTAGGTGCTGCCACGAAAAAGATCCCTAACTGTTCAATGGCCCTAAGTGCCGAGTATAGGTCAAAATTTGCAGCTCTCCACCGGCAAGTGGTGGCGTCTCCATATGAGTGAAAAATTCTCGAGAGGGACGTTCAACAATAAACAAACAAAAACAAACTGTAGCCTCCAAACTTCTCACGTATAAACGAACCTTACAGTGCCTGGATACTGAATATCTAAAACAAAACCCTCTTAAGTGTTCTTGCACTTCTTCTTTCAACTACATCCCGCTGGACACGTCATTACTGATGATGTCGATATAGTTGAAAATGAAGACCTAAAAGCAATTAAATACAGGGGGCCCCGATCTATCAATTGGCGGCAGAACTTCAATTCTTTTATGAATTTTGTAGGAGATTATGCCACTCGTTTTGTTAAATATGAAAAGGTGGATCTAAACACTTTGTCAGAATGAATTAAGTGTATTGGAAATACATTAAAGAATCGTATATTAAGAAATACAAAAGGCAATATGCGAACCATCTACCCTTCCGTTTTTACTAAATAGAAGGTGAAAAAAGGATTAGAAAAAGTTCATGAACGATATGTTATACGGTTCCAGCCGACAAGGCTTGTAACAATATCGTTTTTGTTTGCAATGCCCATTATTATAACTGTATTTTAGAAGAATGTGGATTTAATTCTACGTCTGGAAATCCAAATCACACTTGTTGTTTACTTTCCAAAGTTAATTTTCTTCAAAATCATGTTTCAGTGTTTGATACTTTTAACATTTCAGTCAACCAAGGTGAGTTCGATCTACCCTACCTATACTGGATTCCAAAACTTCATAAAAATCCTTACAAACAAAGATACATTGCCGGGTCCACCAAATGCTCCACCAAGCCCCTTTACTCCTTCCAAAAATATTAACTGCTGTAAAGGAGAAACTTCAGACGTACTGTGCTACAGCGTATTCTAGAAGTAATGTAAATCAGATTCGGATTCTCAATTTAGAAAATTTACAATGTTTCATGTCAGTAACATCAAATCGTCCGACTTTTCTACACTTTATACAACCTTCCTCAAGATAAATAAAAAAACAAGGCTTTCGTTATTTGAAAAAAAAAATCATAGCCGGTAAAACACATGTGAAACATTGGTATTATTCATAGCATAAAAAAATCTACATCATAATGCTAGAGTACAGGAAAATAAAAATATTTAAAATTCTTTGTCTCAAGAACAGCAATGCCATGCTAGTCAAATAATTGACATTAAAGCATCCCAATGTTTTGTGGATTCAAGCTGTTTAAATCATAACCCCTTTGTACTAGGCAGGAGCCACAAAGCGAAGTCAAAATTTTTCATTTGAAGAAAGAGTAGAAAAATCTTTTTAACATCTTACACTGAAGAATAACAGGGCCTATGCCACGTAATAAGATTTCGCGATGATTGAAATACATGTATGCATATTGCCGTATTTTTATCTAATCTTTCAACATCTTTCTAACAAAATATATTTACAACAACATAGTATTTGAATAAATATTATTGTAGATAATATTTTTTCAGAAATGTCCATTTATATTATTTCTAAACCTGTAACCCTTGCGCACTCACTCCTTTTTCATTTAAGAAGAATTGATTCCTTCACTTTGGAGTTCGGAATGACAAAGGAGAAACAAAGACTGAACGATGAGTAAACGCTGAACGCATGATGACGCACGGTGAGCGAACGCTGAACGCTTTGTGAATGGTGAAGGCGAGTGGCTGGTGAACGCAAAATGTGAACAAACAATGAACGAACGGTGGACAAATGGACAAATGGGTAAGTAGAAAGTTTTTAGGAACTGAAATTCAAGATATATATCCATTCCCCTCTTCAAGATTTTCAAAACACATACAGATATAATGAAGATAATTAGAGAGCTATTTGTGTTAGGAAATCTGCAATTAAATTTTATTCTAGTTTTTCAGTAGCATTAGGCATATATACTTTTCTGATATAATATGTAGATTAATGATTCAAATTTTCTTCCAGAAATATTTATTCACGAAAATTCTGCATTATACCTTTGTCTCATATTGTTTTCAAAAAAAAAAAAAGAAATAGATGCTGTAAATATTAGTGACAATCTTAATCATAAAAAGTCTAGTGCATTCATATTTTAAGACTACATCCTGCATTTCCTACAGATATTCCTCAACCTTTGCAGCAAATCTTTCAATTACAACTAATCCTACAGTGCCTAGATATTGACCATCTAAAATAAAATTATCCTTAATTTTATATATTCTTAGATATGGTCCTTCTGGAGACATTACTAGTATTACTGATATTGAATATAGTTGAAAATGGCGGCCTAAATGCAATCATTTTAAAAGATCAGAAATTCAGAGAGCCATGATCTTTCACACAAGGCGCCAAAACGTCATATCAATTATGAATTTCGAATTAGACGATAGACGATGAAGGGGAAAACCTCGACAGATTGTCAAAATGAATTATGTGTTTTAGAAGTATACTAACAATCGTAAGTAGAAAAATAAAAGACAAAAACATACCATCTATCCTTGCGTTTTCAATTAAAAGTGGAAGTGATAAAGGAATTAGGAAGATTACATGAACAATATGTTATAGTTCCAGCAGGCTTGTAACAAATTTTGTAAAGCGCATTATTACAACTGGATTTTATAAGAACTTGGCTTTAACACACATCTGTAAAATCCAACTTAAACTCACGGTTCCCTTTCAAAGGATGAAATTCTTCAGAATCATTATTCAGTTTTTAATATTTTTGACATTCTAGTCGCAACTTTATACAACACGCCGTCGCGCTAAAACACAATCCATTGTATAAAGTTGGTTTAGTGTGACGGCGTGATTTGTGTAAGCGCGACAGCGTCTTGTGTAAAGTTGCGATCTAGCGTGATGGCGTGTTGTGTGTTAGCATTGCACCTTTGCAATTTATAACGCGTTAGCGCAAAGTGACTACGCGCCGGCGTAAATTGCTACTAACGCACTGTTACACTTTTGCGTTGTCACTTCGTGCTAGCGCGTAAATTGCTACTAACGCACTGTTACACTTTTGCGTTGTCACTTCGTGCTAGCGCGTAAATTGCTACTAACGCACTGTTACACTTTTGCGTTGTCACTTCGTGCTAGCGCGTAAATTGCTACTAACGCACTGTTACACTTTTGCAAATGGCCCTATCGTACGATGGCCGATATGAGCCGTCAAATTACAAGTAAGAGTAACTCTATTGTGTACGCAGAATTAATTGACTTTAGGAGTAATAGCTATATAATTTTGTACATGTACATCTTTGTCAATGACAAAACGCTTGTAGTTGTAATATATATTTGTGCATGTACAAATCTTAAGACAAAATACATTTGAAACTACTTAACATTCCTCAGATTTACTGGGGAAATTATCTGTAAACTAAGACAGGGACTAAAACTAAACACGTGTGTCTGGTTTTCTTCTCTTTTCACCCCCCCCCTTTTTTTTGTTGTTGTTGTTAAATAAATGCTGTATTCCTAATTTTTTAATAATCATAAAACGCAGCGAGATTATTTTTACTTTCACATACGTCGTCTGAGACCTCAACATTACATTTTTTCCATCAAAGAATATTTTGTTAGTGTCTTTATTCAGATTCCTCGTGTTTTGGTTTGATTTTAATTTCCTTATCGACAACGCAATATTAAAATTCATTCGTAGGTCCCAAAATATTGGTTAAAGATTCCAAAGACAATGAAGCTGCATCTCTAGTATTTCCCTTCCCTTCAGATGAAAGATTGTCGCTCGATGATCTGCGTAAGTAAGAACTTTGTTTATTTTTCATTCTACTCTTTCCCTTGTTCCATTAATATTTTTTCTCCTTTATTTTTTTTTCATTGGAACAAGGAAAAGAATAGAATGAGGAAATGAATAAACTTCTTACTTAAAGATTCAGCTTCATTTTCTCTGGAATCTTTAACTAGTATTTTAGGCCTAAGAATGAATTTCTATATTGCGTTGCCGTGAAAGAGGTTTAATCAAACAAAAAACATGAGGAACCTGAATAAAGACACAAAATATTCTTTGATGGAAAAATCCGAGAGTCGTGATCTCATACGACGTATGTGAAAGTACAGTCTTGCTCTTTTTAATATCATTAAAAATAAGCATTTATTTAACACACACCCCACCCAAAAAAAAACACGTGTTTTTGTTTTAAACCCTTTCTAAGTTTACGGATAATCTCCCCAATAAATCTGAGAAATGTTGAAGTAGTTTCAAATGTATTTTGTCTCAAGATTTGTACATGTACAAATTCATATTACAAGTACAAGCGTTTTGTCATTGACAAAGATGTACTTGTACAAAATGAATCAGGTATTACTGCTAAAGTCAATTAATTCTGCGCACATAATAGGGTTACTCTTACTTGTAATTTGACGGCTCATATCGGCCATCGTAATATCGGGATACCATGGCATATATAGTGTAGGTTTCGTAGAAGGCAATGGTAATAAACAGTTTGCCAGTGCATTTACTATGAAAGTGTAAATGAGTGCGATTCTGGGGAGAGGGATACTCCATGTAATTCGAACCTGAATCATGGGCGGATACAGGATTTGTGATTAGGGGGGGGCGTGGATAACTTTGTTCAGGCAGGGGGTCTGGGGGCCGCCTTAAGGCCCCCTGGTGGGGGCCCAGGGGGCGAAGCCCCCGGAAGCTCCTGGGTTTTCGTGTATTTTAAGAGTAAAACCAGGCACAATAATAGGGGTATTGGTTAGTTTATACGTACCAAAGTTTGGCATTATTAATACTAGTCATATCGTACTTTGAATAGAGGGGGCCCAGGGGGCGAAGCCCCCGGAAGCTCCTGGGTTTTCGTGTATTTTAAGAGTAAAACCAGGCACAAAAATAGCGGTATTGGTTTGTTATATACCAAAGTATGGCATTATTGATATTAGTCATATCATACTTTGAAAATTTTAGGGGGGGCGTGCGCCCCCCACGCCCCCCCCCCCTTAAATCCGCCAGTGTGAATACCTTCTGTAATTATTATATAATGAGTTAAAAAAAATATTACCGAAACAAGTATCAATATTGAGGCGAAACCAAAACGTCAACGATTTTAAGCTACATAAAACAAACTTATTCATGCTTGAAAAAAAAAACTTCTAAATCATTCTAAATGATTTACATACGTGGATCGATATTTCGTTCATGCTTCAAAGAGGATTTTGTGTAGTTGAGTTTTAAATGTAATTAAAAGATACGAGTTATCCCCCGCTTGTTGTCAAACAATGACTATAAACAGACAGAAGTTGTGACTGATAATTGATATTTGTTTCTTCCGCGTTATGATTTTGACATGTCCTATAACAGAATGTCCAGTGATGGTACCACAATAACCAAACAACCGTCTGCTCAACTCAGTCCGGCAGAGAATGGCGGTAACAACACAGAGCTTGAAACTGGACTGGAGGCAATAGAGGATCTTGACCGGATTATTCTAAGTCAAGAGATTACTGCTTGTGGATGTAGGCATAGATCTTTTTATATTATACTACTATAGTATTACAAATTTCTAAAATCTGTTTGAAATTTTAAAAGGTCAATGAATGTGGTTAGTATTTTGCAATATCGTTATATTTTATCAACCTATGTTTACAGTAGCTTGTCCATGTTGTATTGGTCGGGGTGCTTACACTGTACATGATGGAAACGGGAGCAATGAATTCTTGTTTGAAATCAGAGAAGGTACTTACATTTCATATATATGCCTATAGGACATTTAAAAGATCCCTAAATAAAATTTTTAGTTACTATAGAAGAAAAGTGTATACTGTCTTGGAATTGTAACAGGAAAGGAGAAAAGGTATGGCTGGACCGGAAATCGAACCCGGAATCCCAGCATTACTAGTCAGCAGCTCTATCGACTTAGCTATCCAGGCCGATATCCACGGCCCAAACCATTACACTCCTCCATCCCTAAAATTGTCTTCAACGGCCCTGGCAGGATTTTCACCTGCAGGGTGATCAACGGCATCAAATTATGTAACAGGAAAGAAGAAAAGGTATGCCTTCACCGGAAATCGAACCCGGGACCCCTGTATCACTAGTCAGGTGTTCTATACCAACTGAGCTCAGGTCGATATCCAAGGCCCAAACCATTACACTCCTCCCTCCGTAAACTGTCTTCGCCCTCGAAGACACAATTCAAGTTCTTGTTCGCCCCTGGCAGGGCTTTCACCTGCAAGTCTAGGGGTGGTCAACGGCGTCAAATTATGTAATGGGAAAGGAGAAAAGGTTTGGCTGGACCGGAAATCGAACTCGGGAACCCTGCATCACTAATCAGGTGGTCTACCAACTGAGCTATCCAGGGCGATATCCACGGCCCAAACCATAACAGAGCCAAACGAAAAATTATCGGGAAACATGTTCAACTACCTTGGAAAATGCACGTTATATTTCAAAAGAAAAAGAAATACCTCATAGGAAATTTTTAAAAATTAATGCAAACAATTCACTATTCAAGACATTACTTGAAGCCTAAAACATACTGTCCTGTCATTGGTTTGAATTCTCACTTTTTAACTTTGAAATAGCTGAAAGTATCTTTTAGATAATGCAACATCGTGAACATGGTCATCTGGCTTTCAATAATTTGCTTATCTTATATGATGCTTATTCTTACATAGCCTTTGTCTGCTTATTCCGTTCGTGTCTTGGTTCTGCAAGAGATCTTTCTACACGTATACAAGACTCTAGTGGAAATGACGTAGGTAGATTTCGAAGAGCGATCAGCTTTAGAGGGTGCTGCATTTGTTCCTGTTTTCTCCCACAACTTACGGTGTATCATCCGCATTCTCGGATTGGAACTATCAGAGAAAGGTTTTTCTGTTTCTTTGTTTATTTGAAGTTCTTGATATTTTAAAAAAATTCTTTCAGAAATGTTTTGACTTGGCTGGCTATCTTTTAATACAAGATAGACATAAACTTAGAAAATTGTTTGACTAGTTGTTATCAAACCTAGGGAAAATTATGGCCCAAACACGATTTCAGTATGTGACCCTAAGTCGGGATCATGATACACCTTTATAGGTCATTAGCAATAACATGCTGAAGTTTGAACTCGTTTCAATTAGAATGAGGTTCAAGAGTTATGATCCAGATATGATTTTGTGACAAAAGTTAGAGAGACATGGGGGGGGGGGGAGAGAGAGAGAGAGAGACAGAGTTTATCAGACAAAGAACTGTGCCATCCAATTGAGAAAACAATCGTGCAGAAAAACGGTATTTATACAGTGCTTTGACCGACTACAATGGACTCGTCAAGAACAAAATATAGTGCACGTACAAAGTAGCAAGGTATTTTATGGCCGTTTTATGTTTTCAGACGGACATGCTGTAGACCGAGTTTTGAGATAGTAGATCGTACAGGAGATATTCTGTTTACTTTCTCCAATGACTGTTGTTACTCTCAGTACTGTGGTTGGTTCATGAACGTCACAGTAGATGTAAGTTTTTAATGGTATATTTCCTTGTTTTGCTTTCTTTATCTTGAAAACTCGCGCTTTCTCGAACACTTGTGCCAGAGCCGAAACACCCACAATTGGTTCTTTGTTATTGTTTTACAGGTTAAAGATATGGAGGGCGATGTCGTTGCAAAATTTATTAAGAAATCGTTTCATAATTCGGAAGAGTTAGTAGGACTTGAAAATAAAATTCATATTGAATGTGAGTAGTTTTGTTAATAGAAACAACTGTTTGATTTCACTTTTCCCCATTAAACATATAATAATATATTTACGAAAACGTCCGCATACTGTAAAATGAGAGATGTGATTGATTACAGGACTTTCTTCATTCTGCAACAGTTTTTTACTGGTTGCTTGCAATTGTTTTTTTTTTTTCAGTTTTGAAGAAGATAAAAGCACAAGAAAAATTATTGTTGATCGGAGCGGCCATGTTGCTGAGTCTTAACAATTTTGAAGACAGCAAACGGCTTTGTTGTTAATATTAAAAGTTTCATGTTAATGAAGCAAAACTTTATACATGTATAATGAATATTGTGTTCAATTACTATGCATACTGTGATAATAAAAGATGGATTTGTTTGTCAAATTTTATTTTTGTGATTGACATTGGGAAAAGCTACCCGTTTCCAGAGCTGGAGCGTTGAACAATGAAGGTTATAAATCATTCATTCTTCTCTCAGCAAAAATTGTTTGCTACAGATATCCCATGTCAACTTCTGTTCGAATACGGAAAAAAAATCATATTTAAAATATGTATGAAGTTTTAGTCATGCCACTGAAACTGTAGATCAGACATTTGTTTGGTCACCGACACGATATAGACAAAAACCTTTTGATAGTTCCATTTTTAAAAAATCACCAGTACACAGTATAGTTTATGTATTTGAGTAATAAGCACCATTCTGGAGTTCCCAAGGAAAGGAAATCTTGAACCACAGGTTTTTATTCCATGGGACCAAACGATTCTTCTAGTTGTTGTGTAAGATTGTATAGGACTAGTCAAAGGGAGGCAAAATATTCCTTCGTTATATTTTAAAGAAAAATATTTCTTTGAAAGTATATGAAAAATAAATGAAAGTCGCAGATAAAAGCAATATTTTATTCTTTGTGATACTGCATATGTTTTGAATACTTACTAGCTTTTAAATCGCGGAACACAATCTATGAACATTGTTGAATCATCTTTTATGATATACCAGGAAAATTGAGGGGTAAAGAACAAAGGATATCGTTCCCAGCACCTATTAATCTACCCGATATAATTCATCACTGAACATTCTATTTTACATTCGCCTATGGTTTTAATCTAAAGCACAATAGGTAGTTATTAAAGTATTCAAGTTCCCTAAAATCCATCGATGGTTTCAAAAATTAATAACACGAAATATATGAAGACGGATGAAAAGAACTAGACAAATCGTTATTTCAAAGCAGCAATTTACCGAACAGAAACTCGTTTCTTCGTAATTTTTGGCAAGATTTATTACAAAATGCACTATTAATTAATTTTAAGAATTTTCCTGATTACATTTACGCGTGTCTCTCCTATAAAGGCATTATATAAAGGCTGCGGAAACAAACGAGGTCCATTTGATGGTAGATTTGACCGGGACTGCGACTCTAGGGATTTTAGTTAGTTGTCTGTTCACTTTAATTTTCTTAATTGCCAGATTGGAGCTTCCCTTAACATTTACGAATTGATCCAATGATGTCATGATTTTGTCGATTATTTCCTTCTATGTGGATTGCTGGTCTTTATCGATATTGAAATTCCAGCAATATATGAATTATCAATCACCGCTTCATCTGCATTTGCTATATATATGCCTTATTTTTATTGAATATTGCGTTCTTACAATTGGTGGTAATTGCGCAGTGGATTAAGAGTTTTCCGTGGGTGTTAGGGTGTTGGGACTCTGTTGAGCGTTTTGGCTGCTCTTGTGTCGGGTTTATTTTTCATTTGTTCCTATATTACCCGTTCTTGCTATGGAAACCATTCGTTTATGCTTATATTTTATTTCTTTTTATTATTTGTGCTTTATCCGTGTTCTCACGGCACCCGCTGGTGTATCGAAACCTAACTCTGCAAAACCTGAGGATGTTAGTCCAGGAGAAGGGTTAAAGATAAGCAAGTCCGGATTCATAAGAAAGGCAGAAAATTTTTCAGGGAAAGTTGGCAGACGTATGGTAAGCAGTATTATATACGATACTTGGTTATTTTCAACTGATTATGTAATTTTTTTTCAGCAATAATAATTCTTGGAACACTACAACTTTATATAGATCATTTTTGGGCATTATGGCGAAATAATAATAAAATGCATTAATTGTGAAATAATTTCAGTTTACACTTTATTCAAACACAATTTTTACTTTTTTTTTTCATTTAACCAATTCGGATTTTACATGATCCTTTGGGGAAAAGTGCTGATTGACCAACTTCAAAAATAAACTTCAGTCAAAATTCTTCGATCATAAGGGACATAGTAATTGGTGAATTTTGGAAATTGACAAATATTAACGGCTTATACTTAGATAATCAGTTTTTCCTGAGGCTTGGAAAAATAGCTATCGTCTGAATTGCCAGACATGGCACCTGATCCCACCTCTAATGTTTTAGAGGTCCGTGTTTGCTCTGCTCCAAAATTTGTATTGTTTAATGGACTTTTGAGCGTGAATACTGTTCGTTATCTCCATACATTTCACTGAATTTTTTTAATTTAATTTTTCGTACCGAAAAATAATCCTTAGTTGTTTAAGAGCGAGACTTCATACCCTTGGAGCGTAGTTTTACAAAAAAATGTCCGATTTTTAATCCCTTTTTTACTATCCGTAAATATTCGATTAATTGCTAGATATAAAGAAGAGAAATGCAAAAATAGATTAATTTCATAAGTTCCATAAGAAGGATTGTGTATACAATTGCTGATATTGGTCAAGAATATTTAAGCAGGGTAAAAAGTGGGGCAAATATTTGGGTTATTATAAATCTGAAAAAGTAACATCAATCCTCTCTGTTAACACCTTCCATGTTTTCAGCACAGGTGCTTGGGGACGGGACCCCTCCCCCCTCCGCACCCCAAGGGTTCTCCGACTTTTTTTTATACAAAATATATTTCTATGACACATTTACAAAGTATTACAATTGAAAAATCAAAAATATAACATAAAATAATTTTTTTTATAAAAATTCATACTCTCTGATACTAAAAGAGAGCATTGTTTTAGATTATATTTTAGATTATTCAATTGTAATACTTTGTGAATGTGTCATAGAAAAATATTTTATATAAAAATTCCAAGGACCCTTGGGGTACGGAACGCGGAGGGGGAGGGTTCTGTCCCCAAGCACCTGCGCTTTGTAATACTTCGACAACCTATTTGCACATTCATATTACCATGTAGGATATAGGCAACTTTGACGACGAGTACCTGACAGCCGCCATGCTGGAGTTCGGGGATATGAACAGGGATGGCCTACTGGACTTTGACGAGATATTTCGTTTCTATCTGGCCGTGGTCAAATTTCCATTAAAAAAGGCCTCGGAGACCGCACAGAGTTTCATAAATCTTGGAGACAGAAATAAAGATGGCAAATTATCTTTGAGAGGTAAAGGGGGTTAAAAAAAAGAATTGCGTAAAACTGGGAGTTTAACTTATTTTTGTGTAATTTTACTGTTCGATGTATCTGAATTGATACTAGTATCAGTAAGATATCAGTTAGTTATCAGTAAGATATCAGTATGATGATATTGATGGCTCCTAAGAAAAATACTCCCTCTCATAAATGTTGAGAGAATGGAGGTTTTTTTTCCAAGGGCAACTGAATTAATTTTACAAATTTAGATACCGGTACGTTTTCAAATGTTATTTATATTGTAGCTATGGCAATAATACTGACCTTAACGAATTAATATGGTGACCAAAAACGGTTAGCATAACATGTCTTAGGACCCGGTTTTCTAGAATGTTAAACTTGTTGTGAATAAAATCAAAGCTTTTTAAAATATCTATGCGATTTTATTTGGTCGTGAATTTATATGAATAACATCTTTTTTACATACATATTTACAGTACACCTTTTCTTAACAGAAATATTGAACATTATGGATGAAGCCAAACAAATTGCTAGGGCCCGAAAGCTCATAAAGATGGAAAACACTGAGGACCTTTCCGAGGCCAAACAACTTGGTGAGAATGAAATCATTGAGGAGGGCAAAAATCTTACAGAGGACAAACAACCCCTAAAGGCAGACAACTCTGGTATAATGGTGGGTGAAAACAAACTCCAGAGCAGTAGGAAAGACGAATCTCCGGAGGAACAGAATGTTGACGAGTTGCACAACTTGCCAATAGCAATGAAATGAAACATAAAATTGTGATACATATTAATCCAAAGGGTGAAATAGATCTCTATTTTTCTGCATTTCTTTAGTGTGCCCTGCTGGAACAGGAAGGAAATTTTTGGAATATTTATCAACTCTAGTTGAGGAGAGGTGCTCACTATTATCATAGACTTGATTGACATCCAAAAATATTTATTGCATTGTTTTGTTGCTCGAGTCTTTTCAATAAAATTCAAGCATCGGTGAAAAACGTGTCTCATATGCAGGAAATAATATACTAGAGGTTTATAAAGAAGCAAGACAAAGGTATCACATTTATTGAAAATTAAATTGCCAATGGACGGAGCAGAGGTCACAGAGAGACATAAATACAAATTCAACAACATTACAACAAACTGTTATTATAAAAATATCACATTTTTTTGAGAAATTCTCATAACTTGTTTTCATCAAAACTTTCTAAGTATATTCACATGTTCATATATTAAATATAAAATCCCTAGATTAAACAATATATGTAATGTTATTCCCCTTTCACTCGAAAAAAAAAAAAAAAGCAACACAAGTTTCAGAACAGTGTCACAGATCAGCGGTGCAAACTTTTTTTTCTCTTTTTAAATACACAGCATTATGTTTTTGCTGAATAATTCAATAACATGTTTTAGTTTTTCTTTGTATTATTTTGGTTTGACTGTCTGCTTTTGGCTGATGCTGTTCTCTTGGGTAATGCGATAAATCGGGGTCGAGCTGTAATGCTAAACTCCTCAGACAATGCCTCTGTTACAATATTCAGCAGTGTATTTTCTATTATTGATTCTGCAGCATTGCCAAACTCGGGTAACCTGCAAAATAGAAAACATATCACATTACCTACCACCAAACATCATAAATCTAATTCTCAATTGATCTGTCAGTCCTTCATATTGGATTTTTTAGTTGTTGTTGTCCTACACTGGTTGCTGACAGTTATATACATGACTACATGCAATTTCATCAAGTTATTTTATGCATTAAATTAACAAAAATTTTATTACGAAAGGTGAAAAATACCAACTTTTTGACATTTTGTTTTTCCTTTATTCTGGCTCCTTCCTTCTGCACTTTTTCCACTTCTTCCATTGTGTGTTTTGGTGGAGTTTTGGACTTTCTTGACTTCTATAAATAATATGTAGTTGCAATTACATGATTGTATTTTTTAAATTTTTGATAAGAGACATGATCCTTCAAAAGAAATACAGGAAAACATGAAGAAATCTTAAATAAAATCATGTACTGTACAATCAAACATTTTTAAATGGATATGTCAAGAACAAGTACATGTACTAGCTGGTGAAGATTAGTCTAGAAAATATGAACAGAATTGCAGAAAACTGACCTTCTTTTCACTCTTCTGACTCTTTTTACTGCCAGCTGATGAAGGGGGCGTGGCTTCTGGAGAAACAGGAAGTGTGGCAGAGGACACACGACTGACATCCTCCAGTGGGGAATCCTCCTTAGTTGACTTTGTCTTCCCACTGGGCCCTGCCCTCATCTCTACCGGTGGGGCTGTGGCAGGTCTCTCACCAATTTGAGCATACAATGGAATGTCATCATTGATGACCTTTTTCACAGCTTCGTGGAAAAAGGTGTCATCTAATAAACCTCTGAAAAATGTAGATTCACCAATGGTTACTTTAAATATATAATAATTGGCTGTGTATTCTATCTTAGCACCTTTGGTGTAGAGCAGCTTCCACTAAATCAAGTACATTGATGTTTGGCTTGTGTATATATATAATGAGCACATTCAGAAAGTGCTAAATCGAATCTTCACCAACTTGAAAATCAATTTCCACTAAATATTGTATGTGCTACCTGGTAATTATAATACTCTATAGTAATTTGGCTGTGGAGTGTTTTTTAAAGACTTCTTTAAAAAAGATATTTTAAATGAATATTTCTTTCTATTTAAATTTTCAAAAAGTTTTTGCAAACTTCCACACAAGTGATAATTACCTCAGAACATTGCTAAGAACCCCCGATATGACATCTGCCTCCCCAGTACTGCAGGGTATAATTGTGGAGGTGCTCTCAACTAGGGCCTGCTTCCTACCACCACTCTTGCTTACTCTCTCACTCATGGACCTGAAATGTATAGTAAAAAAGTTACTGATAGATGGGAAATAACTGTTACATTCACATTTGGCTTTATTTATAAGGCATTTAATCACCTGTCAATGAAGAAGTTTCTGTATTCCTCAGGGAATGTGGACTGGAACTCCCTGATGTCATGGGTTCTGGCGGTCAGTCCCAGGTGTAGGAGGAAGGGGACTGGGGGTGAGGGTTTTTCCCACAACTCATTTTCCTTCTTCTTCTTCCTGGATTCCAGTGCTTTCCTTTCATCGGGAGATAACTGTTTTATTGGTGGAAGGGTCTACAGAAAATCAATAAAAATTTGCAGGATACATGCTGCAATATCAAACAAAGTCATTATTGCCAACTTACATTGTAAATCTGTCCATCATTTTGTATTAAGTTACCTTATATTTAGTGAGTTCTCCTTCTGCTTCCATCTTTATCTCCTCCATAGATCTGAGGCGGCTTGAGGAGCGTTCCTGCAAAAACCATAGAAATATTCCTTTCAGAAGTACTTTCTTTTACATATTGCAGGCTCTGAAAGAAGAAATACTACAGCATGGAATAACATTCTATATTTTCACAATGCTTACCACAATTTCTACATTGTCTGAGAGCCTCTTGTCAGCGTCCAGATCATTCTCAGTAATACAGAACTCGTACTTCTGTCGGTATTTTTCTTTCTCCCATGCAGCCAGTTCCTTCTTATATTTGTCCATCTCTAGTTCATCAGTAGCCTACAAAATTAAAAAAAAAAGTTAACATGGAATAACTGCTAATAAAATGAATAATAAATGTACTCTTGTAGAGAGAGATACGTGGCTGAAGCACAGATTTCAAAATGTGGAACTCAAAAGAATCATCATGAGTTGGAAAACAAACAAAGGTTCATTACATACTAAAGACTTCCTATCTCTTGCATATGGCTCAAAATTCGAATATTAAAATTTTATTCTCCCCTTAATTTGTTTATATTTTAATTTGAATATTGTATCTTTTAAATTGTTTGTGAATGACTTACTTCACAAACCAGATCCAAATCATAGAAGGATGGGACTCCACAGGCGATGAAAACAACACGGCACATGCGGCTCTCCCCTGGGGACAGTCTGCCTCTTACTGGGGAGATTGATAGGTACTGCAGAAAATCAGAGATGTCATCAGTATAAGAGGGAAGATTTAATTAGGAAATAAATTACTGACCAAGTCATTAAGAATCTTGGCTGTTAAGCAAAATCACTGTTTTTCTATGATACATTGTATTTCTTTTACTTGTATACCAGGATAAAGAGTCTACAGTTAAAATACTGTCACTAAAATAAAGTCCAATATACTTTCTAAAAGAAATGTAGAGTAAAAACAGAACAAATAGAAAATAAGAACTTTTTTTCACAGAAACCTGCAAAATTATTCCAATAATACAGCATAAGCAGAATTTTCAGCGAGGTTTCAATTTAGGCAATATTAGCTAGAGAGTAATGACATCATAAAAATTGAATATCCCTAGTAATTCATTCCGTTTCTGAGGTAGAAGCTATATGTATACTGTATACAGGGTTATTTTCGCCCTGTGTTATATTCGACCTTTCACACTTGCAAATAATTTTGCCCCACTTTACATTCACCCAGAAAAAGTTTTGCTTAAGAGATTATGCTTTTTTTATCGCCCCGTTTTAAATTCGCCCACAAGCAACGAGGGCGAAAGGGGCGAAAATAAAACGGGGGCAAAAATTTCCCTGTATACAGTATGTCTTGACAATAAAAAAAATGTTAAAATTTCTCACTAAAAATGTACACTGATTTCAAAAGATAAATGGCAAATTTGTGTCTCGCTCAAAATTCCACTTCTATAGAACATGGAATGTATAAATCTTAACAACCAAACAATCAATAAAATTTACCTTATTAATCTTTATTGGAAAAATAAAAGACAAATAATGGGTATAAAACATCTTGAGATCAATTACAAAAGATTTTTCAACAGCTATCTAAATCTTCAACTAGATCCTTTTAGTATCTTTCGTGTTCAGCTATGTTGTACTAAAGCAACCTTAAAATGAAATATCTCTACAGCCTTACATGCTACATTAACAGTGAAAACACTTACATCTCTAACTGACTGAAATCAAAGTTTATAATGTGCATAAAAATAAATATAAAAACAGTGACAACATAAAAAAATATTCTAGCACACACAAATCAGGACACGGTATTGTAGATGAAAAATTTACCTGGGCATCAGCTTGTGAAGTGACATGCCACTCAAATGAAACATCTCGATCCTTAGCCTTGTTTGTAACAAACACCATTCTTCTGGCTCGACTGAATAGGGGCAGATTTCCAAAGGACAGTCTCTCTTGTGATAGGTACATTAGCTGAAAATAGACATCGCAAAATGAGATTCCTACTAGTATTATATGTAACTTGCCAATACATACAGTATAGCATAAGTTGAGTAAGACCTTTGTATTTATAATCCTTTGCCTGTTCCTCTACATTTCTAAAGTAATAATAAATTTGTTTTTTGTTCTTTAAATTTCAAAATTTCTTAATCTATCATGTGTTTAAGGTGTACAATTGTACTGTTTTTCATGTTTTTCCACTATACTTGATATAAACGTAGTGGATTTACTCTGTGTTGAAAAAGTGACTACATGTATATTAATACATCTAAATAAACAAAATTCTCCCTTACCTGTCCTGGTACAGAAACACTCTGGACCCCAGGGACTCCTGTCATATCCTGCTGGTCTGTGACTGGCATGGTATCCCCCATTACTCGTCTGTCAAAGCCTACACCAGTAAATGTCACAATGGCCGTGTCTCCATTGTGAACATGGATTGGAACATCAATCTACAAAGAGTCAAATTTAGCACAAAAAAAAAGGTTTAATTTTTTGTTTAAATCATACAAATGAACTTTAAATCTCTATATTAAGAGGGCTGGGTGGTTGTGGCCATTTTCAGACTATATTGATCTCCTTTAGAAGAAGAGCTCCATATATAAAGATATACAAAAATGATCAAATTTTAAAACTAAAATGTATGAAATTTTTGTTTGCCAAATGATAGTTGACAGCTTAAGATATCATGTCTAAAAAAAGAAGTTATATCTGATGGTTAATTTGTTGACCCCCCAGCCTCTTTAAGAAATATACCATGTATGTCTTGGCCTCAATCGGAGAGAATCTCCATTCAACAGAGTAAGATCTTCCTGGTGGAATTTCTCCAATGGGTGTTAGACACTCAAAGATTGGCTGGTCAAAGTTCTCCTGGAAAAAAATACATAATTCTAGTTAATCTTTGCTACAAAATAACTATTAATTCCAACAAGACATTCTTTATTATGAAGTAAATGTTAAGCAATTTATCATTTTTGTAATTTAACACAATATTGAATTGGATTTCTACCTGACGTAGGAGTTCTAAAGGTGCAAGGTCAAAGTTGAACCTAACAGGTGTAGCTCCACCATTATATAACTCATACACTTGTTTGGGACTGACTTTTTCACCAACTGCGACAGGTGTGAACATGTGTTTGTTGGATGGAAAGTGGATATACTTCCTTTCAGGTTCCACAGTAACTCCAATGAAATTCAGCTGGAAATATAATGGTTGATCTTATAATCTCTCTATGAATATTCAAAATGTAATTTAATTGTTAATGGGTTTGTACCTTTGCTTTTTTGCTCTAAAATTCAATGTTTTCTTTCTTTCTTTATTGGTCAAACAAGTTCCTCTTACCAGGATTTCTCTGCCCCTGGCCAGTTTGAGAAGAACAGGAAGTCTGTCTGTCCCTGCCATGGTGTGTCGGTAGGTGAAAGTCACTGTCTTACATTCGCCAGGTTCCAGTTTACCTTGCTGAGGCTCAATGGCAAACAACTTGTTGTCCATTACCTTCATCTATACCACAAAATTACAATTAATTTTCAGGACACAAGAGGACAGTGCAGAAAATTTTAAACAAAGATCTCCATTAGATATGGAGTCGAGCAAACCTCATGTAGTTCATCCTCATCAAACTCCCCTGTTTCAGCCCAGTATTCCAGCTCAAGTTGAAGGTCACATGGAAACAGGAAGGACCTTCAAAAAAAAATAAAATAAAATAAAATAAAACGAATATTTAAATTTACGCAGAAATATGATGTACATTTATTAAACTGTTGTCTGAATGTCTTATAATTCTTGATTATTTTCTTAAGAAAAAATCTGACTACCATTCAGTGGCCACTGTTCCAGTGTTTTCAAACATCAAGTTTACAACACATGGCTCACTATCCAGTGGAGCAGCACTGAAGTTGAAGTCCATAATGGCTCTGGTGTACACAGGAGGTCTTCGAGCATGGCTGTGCGAAAGACAATAAATGTTTATAAATTATGCAAGAATTGTGAATTTTTCAAAGATGTTAAGTTTTTTCTAATTTATGTGCATTGATCATTCTTGCAAAAATAAAATATTTCTCCACTTTACCTGTGTCTTGTGGCAACACTGTACCTAAGTTCCTCTGCAGAAGGGTCTGAATCCAGGCACAAGTTCAAACTGAAAGTGATAATAAAAATTATGTATGTGAAAAATTTTGCTTCAATCTGACTGTAGAGCAGCTGTCATACTGCTCAATAATACAAGCAATCAATGCCTGCTTAATTTTTCTCCGTGGTGTACATACTTGTCCAGTGAGAAGAGCGACCAGAGTTGTTTTTTACTGATGCCCACCGCACTGCCGTAACATCGAGCATCCGTGACAGCCATGACTGGGAACACGCCTGTAGTCAATATGTGACACAAATGCTGGGGTTCCTGCAACTTGGAATCTACCATTTGACCTGTATCAAAAAAACCCAAACATTTAGATTTTTATGAATTTTGGAATGTGTACATGCATCAAAATGTGACCAAAATATATCTGGTACTTAACCATGCAATGGTTTACCGGGTAGCTGGAAATTTAAAAATTTCAAATTCATATTTGAAAATTTTTCGTGACTGATTTTTTTAAAACTGCTTTTTTATTAACATTTAGTCCTCCAAGTCAAGTAAAATGATAGCTTTTTTACCCTGTGGGGTGACAAGTTTATAGGAGATGGCAAACTGATAGTTGACTCTCCTGATTGGTTTGACTGTAGCCATGATCTTATGTCGAGACCTGGCAGGTAGAACTCCCTCTGTTCTGTCCAGAATCAAGGCTACAAAATTTAACAGAACTCAAAAAACATTCCATTCCACTAAAAACAAAATTCAATCTTTACAACACATACAAATTGCAAAATTCATTCTACTCTTTAAGTAAGTAACATTAAGTTTATAGCAATTATGATGTACTTTTAAAAATTATTTAAAAAAATAAATAAATAAATAAAAAATTGTGCCCTCAAATGAGGACACATTTGTGTTCTTTTATTACTAAAGACAATAAATGTTATGGTTTACCAAGTTTGTCATCCTTTGTGATTTCCTCTGGGTATGGCCCATCCATTGTTTGGTCGACGATCAGGCAGTAATGCAGACTACAGGTACTGTTATTGACAATGCTGATCATCTTAGAGGCGGAGCTACCCACAACCACATCACCAAAGTCAAGGTATGTATTATCAGCCTTAAATTAAACATTCATAAGATCTAAATTTAAAAATTTCATGACACAAAATTATTTAAATTAATACAACTTCAAGTACTAGTGTTCTCAAAGAAAATCTATACAAAAAATATTCATGCACACAGGCAATTCCTGAAGTAGAAACAAATTCTTTAAGTTCAACAAAGTCCTACATTTTCAAAGTAAAATTTTAGTCCAGTAGAGTATGATTATAAACTTTAACTCATCCAATCCTATTTCCATTAGAAGAGAGTTACATACCTTGATGTCTCCAATGGACCCCTCTCCTATGGCGCGGACCGTGAACTGCTTTTTCTTGCCTCCTGATGAGGAACTGTGGAATCCCTGACCCCAAACTATCAGCGAGGGCTTCATAACATACTTCTCCTCCGCTGCAGGTACAAAGGACCAAGTGTGGGCCTGTACAGGTAAAAAGGGGAAATTACCATACAAAAATCCTTGAAAATCTGTTTTTGTAAAAAATGAAAGAATCCAAAAAAATCTGAATGTTAATTTTGGATAGCGGATGTATTACCTGTGATTCATTGGGCTGAATAATGCCTGAAGATGGAGTGACTGACAACAGCTGCTTGTCCTTGTGCACCATTTTCCATTCAAATCTAAACATACATATAAAAGTATTTCAATTTATTATACCAAAATAGTAACATATCATTTTTTCAGTATATGAGAATTATTGGTATGAAAATGAATCTCTTTGTAAAGATATGTTTTGCACGTTGATTTATTGTGATAAACTGTATTATTTCCTATTACCTGAGTGGTATTCTAGATACATTTTTGATGGTGTAGTCTTTAGTAGAGGAGGTTCCAATACAGGTCTGTTTGAAATACATGACTCCTTCTGTATCCAGTACAACTTCAGGTGATTCTGCTGATCCCCATAACTCAACACACTGAAACACGATTCAAATGAAAATGAATACCATGGTCCATTACTTTGACAAAAAAACAGGTTCATGTGTACATGTACTGTGTTTAAATATTCTGATAATAAAAGGTGAATGTAGCTTCTAAGATTAGTAGAATTGTGTAAAACTGAACTCAGACTAAAGTAAGTAGTCAAGTGTCATACCTTGTTGTACTTTTCCTCATCATTGAGTCTGAAGGTCAGGTCATGTTTATAGTGCTTCACTTCACTGGGGGTTATCTTCACCACAAAGATCTGCTGCTGTCCTTTCAGCAAAGCTTTGCTTGGTTTTACAGTGTACGTACTGAAAGAGACATATTAAATCAGATTCTTTGTATACAAGATATCTATTATTTTGATCAGGAATACTGACAATCAAAATGGTACTCAGTCTTACTTTGACGGGTCCTTCTGAATATCAAACAGTATGGGTGTGGTGCCATTGTTGGTCAACAACAGAGTTCTGTAGGTGGACTCTTTGGCGTTTACCGCAGGGAAAACAAGACGTAACGTGTCGAAGGACAAACGTGGCAGGAATGTTTCATTGTTGGGCTGGAATGTCTGACCTGTTTATTTACAACAATGAAATGCATGTAAAGTGAAAAATAAAAAATATTACACGTACATTAACAAAATCAATTTCAAATGCTAACAAGGCCATCTCTACTCTAAATGACTGTATAAAACATAAATTTATCAATTAAAATGTATTTAAATCCAGGCACTGAGGATGCATGAAACTTTTTGTGAAACATGTAATATAATATTACAAGAATTATCCCTCCCCCATATCCCCCCTAATTTTACTGTCAACTAATTACCTGTACAGGTGAGAGTGAGGCACCAAGGAGGGCAGTGAGTGTTGTCTTCCACCAGACGATAATCTCTTAAACTCTTGTAGTAAGCAAAACATTCCAGTTCTGCTCCATAAAACTGGTTAGGGACAGTCTGAAAGTAACAAGACTTCCTTTGTAAATGTTTAATATTATCTCTTTGACACTCTATATTTATAGTCAAATTCGATATCAACATGAGAAAACATATATCTGTAAAACTTGTCTCCATAAGTATGAGACTTTTTTTTCTTACAGGTTTGAAGGTGACTTGGAAAGCACACGACTTTAATGGAGGGATGTCCATAGTTGCTGGCATGATAGAAAATGTCTTATCATTCCCACAGTTCCACTGAATGGTCACCTTGCCATAGGTGTGATTTGTCACATTGATTATCTGCAAAAAGAGGAAGATAATTCAGTCAAAATTGACATTATATTTTACTGTAATATGTGTACATATAGTACCACTATTTATGTATACCATGATTTAACACACTTCATACTTTACATGAATTTCCACATATACATTGATTTCTTTTTAATTTACAATCAATTTTAATAAGATAATGAAATTTCTTCATGGTCTAAATTAAGAAACAACCCTCTCGATAATAAATTTATGGTGTTACAAGGGCTATGGAACATATTTTTAAAAATGTATTTAAACATAAAAAGACATCAAATGAGAAACAAACCTTGTCTTCTATGACTCTCATATTGGAACACTGTCCAAAATCTGCATTGTTTGTATCTATGCTGACATGTGGAACAGAACTCTATGAAAACAAATCAAACATAGGTTCTCATACATCAAACATCAATTAATTTGCAATGCACTTCCAACTCAGATATTTGATTATGGATGAACAAAAGTTTTGTTAAGAAATTTCTACAGTGTGAAACTGAGATGCTGACTTACATTGATATCACAGTGGAAGCCATCGTTGAAGTAGTCATCCATTGGAGGAACAACAGAAAGTGTGGATTCTGTTCCTGTCTCAGATTTCTGTGAGTAAATCAAATGACAATATAAATATATTGTCTCAGGTTTATTAATTAAATTTTGAAATTAGAAGACATTTTTTAAAGTTGCAGTTCCTCATTTGCAGTCAAAGGTGTTTATTATTTGTTACAATCAGATTTCATTCTACCTATTTCTTACAATAAAAGCTTTTAAAGGTATGCAAAAAAAAGAAAATAAAATTATTATATTGTTCCATTCTCTTCTAGAAAAGAACTTTCATACTGTTCATATAATGAAGAATAACTGGCAATGTTTATATAGTAAACAAAGAACCAAATGTGCATAAAACTTCAAATAAAACTGAAATAAAACAAATCATTTCACATATCACCATGCTGCCAGCATCATCATCTGGTAAGACAATTTGGATGAAATTCACCTGTTACAGTAAGCATTAAATTTATTTACTCTAGGCCTACATGGCACAATACAAAAATCTGTTTAAGAAATGTTTTACTACTGTCAATATAACTGAATTTTTTTTTATATACGCATGAACCTTTTATATACGCATGAATCTGACATACAAATTTGCTTTTCAGCAGCTGTAAATAAAAGTATGATTAATCACAAAGTTTAAATAAAACCAAGAGTTGTCAATTTGTTGCTTCTATTGTTTACCAATTACAGAGACTTTTCTATTTTATTAAAGTAAAAAAAAAAATGTTTGCTAATAAAAACTTGCCTCGGGAATCATAAGACAGCCAGCATCATCTAATTCAAGTTTTCCTGTTTTTAAGCTCTCATTTAGTTGCTGCAAAGAAATACACCACTTTCATTAAGGATGTCAAAGGCTACATTTCTTTAATTAAATGCCTCTATCCATATGTATCTATAATGTAATGCCTTTTTGTATCTACAATCTATATAACACATATCCACATGGCTTAAGAGAAACAAAGTTTTCTTTATCTACATGGCTTACCTCTGGTGGATAGAGAGAAAGATTTTTCTTTATCTACATGGCTTACCTCTGGTGGATAGAGAGATAGTCCTCTCTCTACATGACATTTGTAGTTATCTAAATGCCTGGACAACAAAACTGCAGGTTTGACAAGCTCTGCATGACATGTTCCAAGAAGGTCCAAAAACAAAGGACCCTAAAGATACAAAAGGAAAAAAACATTCATTGAGACATATAATTTTCCCAAGAAAACGTTAAAACAGCAAAATGCTGTCTTGTAACCTTTCTCTCGATCTGTAAATATTGGGCAAAAATTATAATCTTATCTAGTACATTATGTACTTCTATATGCATCATCCTTGCAAGTTTAATCAAGGTATTTCATATACAATGTACATGTAGCTGTTTGGAAATGGAACAGCTCCAAAAACATCAAAGTGCCACTTGTCAAGAAAAAATATACGTCAGTCATTTGCTACAGCCAAATCAAATCTGGTAGTGTAAAATCCTTAGATATATTTTCCATGCAGGTTTGGCCATGTATGGCTTTTAGTTACTTATGAATGAACCTCCTGCAAGAACTTTAACCTGCTCACTCATCTACATGTACATAACATAGGTCATAAAGATTCAGCATTGTAATGTTATCGTTGTTTTGGATATGGACCTGCCTCAAAAACTTTTACTCAGAACACTTACAATGCATAGGTTCATCTCCGCTTTGTCAAGGTGAGCTAAAATAACTGGTTTCAGCAAAATAAGCTATTCATAGCATAAGTTCTGACCTGGTTGTGAATCATGCATGTGACCCTCCTGTAGTAGTTGATGGGATGCTGAGGGACAAACTTCATCACAATTGTTATTGTTGTGTTGGGTCGTATCACTCCTGATGTCTTCTCAAGCTTAAACACACTTTCATTACAGTCCAGCATAAACTACAAGGAAACATACATGGTGAAATATATTCAAATATGCACATATTTGATATTTTGAGTAGGCCTGTGTTCCTAAAATCTAATTCATAGATTCAAACAAAACAATTTGATTATTCTAGCTTCCACTTACTAATTTTTGAAACCTGCAAATGATTTTTTTTTTTTGCAATCTATTTGTTTATTACAAGGCAAACAGAGGCAAAATCAGTACAATTTCTATTACATTTAGGAAATGCAAATTTATAGCAACTACCGGGTAATTTTTAGCCTACAACATTTTTGAGACAATTTTTTTCTTCTCAGATTCAGTACATAGACTTGTATCCTAAGCCAAATTAAATCAATGGAATCGTACAGAGTCTGACAAAAAGTAAAAGTGAATCAATCTTTTATCCCTCAGAAGAAAAAATGTGCATCATTTCATACTCATATGCTGTGTGTAAAACCCCAGAAAGAACTATGTCAGTTAACCTTACCTGAAATGTGGCCTCTATATCTGAATTATTGATGATATCTACTGTCCTAGTAGCCATGGCACCCAGATCTATCTGCATGAAATTGACATTCTTTGCTCCAAGATGAACTGTAGGACCTATAAAGAAAAATTTTTGTTGCATGTGGTCTTCACTAAATTAATGTTTATCACTTACATTTCTTGGGATATCATTTCTGCGTACAATTTCACTGCATTTATTCCTTGGGTATAAATTCCACAAAGCATTTGTATTTTGATCACTAAAATCATTTGTGTTATAGTTGCAGATCCAAATTTTATTTACACATCAAGACAATCTCAAAATTACTGATACAAGTAAATAAAGTTCTCACAAATAAAATGTAATTTACAGAAGATAAACTATGCCCTGATTAGTTATAAGTTGATCTTTGACTTTTATGCAAATATACCGTATCATTTTTATACCTTTAGAAGATCCAACACATTTAATGACAGCTTTGCTGATATTTCCAATAGTAACAACATTGAAGTAGTCCATGGATGTGGTGTCTACTGTGTTTGGACTATATGTTACCTATAACAAACAAAAAAGTTAAAGTTTTGAATTTAAATAGCAAAACGTTTTATATGTTGGGAACTGTACTGTTACGAGTAAATCAAAATGAATTCTCACTGGAATGCGGACTGAGCTCATTGGTGGAACGATTCCTTCATCTTGTGGACAAGCAAATACAGTGTCAATACGACTCATCTTGGAGGGGTGTTGTACCTTGTATGGAGCACGAACCTGAATCATTCAAATTTTAAAAATTAAGCATGTTCAATTTATATGCAGGGTACAGTAATTTCCACACAGATTTCAACTAATAGCATTTTCCCATTGACGTAATTATCACACATCTATACAGTGGATATAAAAAATATAGATCCAATTCCCTTATCATTCTACAAAATCTTACAGGGGCTAAATTATGGAGTTCCACCCATTTCTGTACAGTTGATCCAACAGGAGTTGAGGAAAACTTGATCTCCTCTTCTTGGTTTGTAGAGTTCAGACTGCTAGAAGGCCTTCCAAGGGATGAGACCAAAATGTGGGGATATTTTCCTGTTTAATAAATACATCAAATGTGTGAAAGGGAACATTTACCAAGAAACAAAATTACTTTTACTGCTGAACTAAAATAGTGTTGTACCGATAAGGCCAAACAAAAAAATATGTGTGGTTCCGGTTACACTTCCATAAAAATTAGGGTAGGTAGGTAGGGAATTTTTTTTTTTTTTTTTTTAACAAAATGATTTTCTTAATTTTTCTAAATAATACCTATCACTGCTTTGCAAATGGCATTTAGATGTGATGTGATAATATACTAGTCAATAATGGTAGGGGACACCTACATGCTAGCTTGCTTTGGACTTAATACTATTAAACACTTGCACTATGTTTTGTAAGGAGGTCGTCATTGCTGAAACTAAAACTTAAACCGAAGCCATTGATGGAAATCGGGGAAAATTCCGGAAAAAATATGAAAATTGCCAAAAAAAAGTTTAGGGTCGGGGGTATAAGATAGGGAAGGTCGGGTAACCGGAACTACCCATATTTTTTTATTTGGCCTAATCAGAAAACATCGATTGTCAATGAAAAAACACTACCGATTCCGATGATCGATTATAATTTTTCATAATCGATCATCACAAACATACTTCTAATACAATACATTCCGGAATTATTCATTTCTGGTTTAAAATTTATTTCTTCTTAATGCAAGAAAATAGCATCTGCATCTGATACTAGCCAACTAGCACGAAGCAGAGGTGATTAAGAACCAAAAGATGCTTATATAGAAAGTGTAAAAGGAGCAAAACTACAAAGAAAATAATAAATTATATATTTTATATATTCATGTTAAAGAAATAATATGAAATAATTGTAATAGTCTGCTTTTTATATACAAAACTATGACATCCAATTATAATCAGTAAAATTGCATCGGAAGCAGTAACCGATTCCAACCGATCATCGATTATGAAAATTAACTGATGTCCCATCACTAATTTTTTAGTTCTCTATTTATTTATTTATTACAAGACTGAAATTAATTCTGAAGTACCTATTCCTTCCAGTTTTGTTACTTTTCCATGTGCGAGCTCTGGTCCATATTTACATACTGCCTCTCCTTGATAAACACAGGCTGTCTGTTAAATAATTAAACAATTTTTGACAGTGTAATTAACAAATAATTAAAATGTTTTTTTCATTAATATTCTTTTATACAATGTGCTACCTTACATTTGACACTTCTTTATAATTAGAATTTTGTGAAAAAGCAGTAAAAATTACTTCACATGTCTCATTCCCTTGAAACAGGTTAAATAAAATCAGATATTTCTATTCATAATTCAGTAACTTACAATTGGAGTAAATGTTGCCTTGAACTGCCTGACAGAACCAGATTTTAGGATTGCAGCACTTGGTTCTATTGTAAATGGTGATTTAATTTCCCATTCAATCTTTGTTTCCAAGTCCCTGTAACAAAATTATAAATAGGATACTGAAAAGGAGATTTTAGGTGATTCTGAAATGATTTTAGGTTCCATGTAAATGTATGTATTTTTTAAATCTTAAATTAAAAAAAAACATATGCATACCCTGTATTCCTGACTTCAAATGTTGTATGAACCACATCTTTGGCAGCACACATGTTAAAATCCAAGAAATCTGGAACTGAGATATCAACCTGTGGCAGCACTGCTCTGATTGGAACTTCAAAAGATCCATCCTGTCATATTCAATAAAACTTCATTTAAAAATATGGTCTTTTTTCATTTGACAACTGCCAGAAGTTGTGTTAGATGTTATTAATTCACTTTTTCTTCACACTTTATTTTTAGAAAATGTAATGTAGGGTTAAATACCTAAAGAAAAAAATAAAAAGGGTTTGAGAACAAGTAAATACTTACTTTTAAGTGAAATTCTATTTTATCATTATAAACCACTTTTTCCAATGGCCTGAATGTAACAGGAAGTGAGAAACTGGTTCCTGCACTAAGCACAAGAGGTTTTGGATACAATGTTGTGAAAAACCTAGTATTTGGTACTCTGTAAATAAAATTCAAAGTGAAGATCAATAGCAAGGAAAACTGAATTTTTATGATTTTTATACTTTAGATTAAGAATAGTGTATGTGGAATTAACTACATACTTGTACTTTATTTTCTGTGTCTTAACATTCACGTTCTTTAAGACAATATTCTTGGTGTATTCTCTTCCTGGTTCCCATCCTTGCCAGACAATTTCATTTATCACTTCAATGCCATGATAATTTGTCTTTTCTGCAGTTGATAATTGTGTCACTTGAGGCAAATATTGTTTTACAGGTTGTATGGATGTTGGAACAGCCACTGGCTGACTTACTTCTACCACTGATGGCATGGCTGAAAGAAGAAAACAAGATATTTTGATTTTTCATACAATTATCAAAAAACCCTTAATACAGTTACATGTGCACCTCCAAAATTGTAATCTCCCAGTATTCAAACAATCAAGGTAAAGCTTCTTTAGAGAAATGTAAAAAAATAACTGTGGAATTTATCCTGAAATCGTCTAATTTAAGGGAAACGAATCAACCATATCAATCTAACACGGAACAATGACATGTTTATCTGCAGTATACACACATATCAATAGGACTTTGAAAGCTAAAACTGTCTTGAAATGCTGAAATAAACCCGGTGACTGTCCAAGCTGTATTTTAAAAACATCCCAACTATTACGATCAATTTCAACCAGGACATTCATTTGGGAATGAAGACATCTAGAACTATATTTATCATAAATATTCAACAAATACAATATACTTCAAATATAGAAGAAACAAATTACTCTCAGAATATGGATTACTTCGGTTTATTACCTGCTTTTGTTGTCATTCAATATCCGCCATGATGTAAATAAAATAAAGATGGCCGTGTTGCTATGTTTGACGTGAGAGTTTCAGCGTTGAGCCGAACCTAAATGACACACAATGGTCATTAGCTTTTCATTTGAACTAAGATGTGTTTTTTTTCTGCAGTTCTGCAAGACACACTTATAATATATCTGCTTCTTGTGTGACACACTTTGTTAATATTTTGAACATTAGAGAGCACCGCCAAGTTAGAGAACTCTCGTAGCAACCAAGTAGCATTACCGCGGGAAATTCAAATGGTCAAATGCGCGCATGTGTGTCGGTCAGGCACGTACGATCGCTGCTGGCCAGGTAGCTCAGTTGGTAGAGCATCTGACTTAGGGACCAGGATTTGATTCCTGTCTGGTCCGTCGCATTTTTCTCCCTCGCCGTTTTTTCCCCCAATTTTTCATGCTTGTCCGTGTTCTGATGCCGTGTCCAAATAGATATCCACTAAATGAAATCCCGCACAAGCGCAGGGAATTGAATTTTTACCACTTTACTGACAGAACAATTCCATTGATATATATTATAGTTTCTACTGACGGTTAATTACAGGCTTATAGCAGGAGAATTACTTTGTTCAAAATCCCGCAGTCTTTTTCGGAGCAGAAGTAGTCATACTCCCCTTCCCCTTCAAAAAATTGAAAAATAACTTAAATGAAGTTTTGATTTAAAAATTCAATGATGATGTTTCATGAAATAAATAAACAATTGCTTGTTGTCAGTGTCATTAAAAATTGCCAGCAACTTAGACCCACCAACTGTAGCCTCCACCGTACTCTCCTTTTTGCTATTTTAGGGCTGTTTTTCGAAAATTACTTTTAATTAAATTTACGATAAATTATGCGAGTGAAATCTTAATATAGTTTACCGACATCATCTCATATCTAGTGTATTTTTAGAGGAGTAAGTGTGAACTCTGTTGATTTCGGCGTTTCGGAGTTCATTAGCAAATTTATTAAATTAAATTTATAAGTATAGATACTTTATATGAACCTGTGTTCCCGAATTGCAGCTGCATAAGACAGCTCAAAATCTTACACAATTTGTAATATGTTCAGCTTTTTAATATACGGGTCAAAGAAAAGGGATTAAAAAGATAGATCGCGATTTTCTGCAACCAAAATGGACGTTGTGCACAAGTTATCAATATGAATCAATCAAGCAGGATGTTAGTCACAATTTTCCATTCGATGTTTCCGCATGATTCACATTATTGTCTACAGGCGTTAGTGGCGGTCAACTACATATAGCAACAAAAGGTTATACGACGAACGGGATGACTTCGGCTTTTCCATTATCAATTATCAACTTTCCCCATTTATATAGTAATATTCCAGTATCACCTACATATATGATGTTTTTGTCTCCCAACTGATTCGGAACACAAGACCATATTCTGAGTACGATCAATTCTTAACAGAGTTTGGATACTGAGAAATAAGTTGATGTTACAGGGATTTCAACTATTTCATTGACATTCGGCATTTTGCAAAAAGTCGTGTTGATTTTTACATTTTCTGCAAATTAATACATCCTATCACCGGGTCCTAACCGATATGTTAGGTTTCATTCTTTGTATACCAATGTGACAATCAATTACTACAGTTGCCTGATTAATGTAGAGGACTGACGGTGGGTGTGACCGGTCAACAGGAGATGCTTACTCTTCCTGGACACCTGCTCTCAATTCTGCGTGGTATTTCAAGGAGTACTAGTCCGTGTTTATTGCCCAATTCGTATTCATTACTGGAATTGTGGGATTGGTCAATATTAGTTATCTTCATCTTTTACATCTTTAAAGCCACAAGAGACTTGGTATTTCTTTGTTCATTCTCTGGCCTTTTATCATGGTCCCTCTTAGTCAAAGTTAGGGCGATTTTGAAACTTGAGACTTTTAAACCCTAGATCTCACTGAAAATGAAAAGAGCAGTTTTACAACCTCGAAACTATATATGTCATCATATTGACTAGAACGCAACCCTGATATGAAAGGATTAATAACAAGTTTCACCAATGATCGTCGAAATAGTGTCATGTGTAACAAACGTGAGAGGTCTATCACGATAATAGATATTCAATATATTTTTGGTTAATCAACATGCATCTTTTAAACATACACTTTCAAATTCAGTGATAATTTTCATGAAAAAGTTATGGTTTTACCAACCTAAACAATATTTTTTACTAAAATCACATCAGAGTCATCAGTTAACTGCTTTATTTAGTTTGTTGGGTGTGAGTGAGGGAGGGGAATAATCTACATAAGAATTTTACTTTAAGGTTGTGTAATATGTATACATACACAGTATGGCCAAACATAGAAAAAAAGAAGAAAATACATATATTCCACAACACATGCCTCAATGATCCATTATTTGTAATTTTTTTTTTTTTTTGTAAATTATGCAAGACATATTGAACCAAACTAAAAAAAATCTGTAAAAATGACTCTTTTATGTTAACATACAAGGATTGGTGTTTGTGTATTGAGAGATGTATTGGGTCAATAATAAAACTGGATATCTAGTGTACATTTATCAATGCAGGACACAGCTGTTCATCCCGGTCTGTCGACTAAAGTCCAGTGATAAGGTATATCTATAGATTTTTGTCAAACCCCACTCATACTTTTTTTTAATTAGTTCTATCACCCAAGGACTCGTCAACTTTTAGGGGGAGAAGTAAGTCTTTTGATTTTATTATTGATTTCTATGTGTACGAAGATTTAGCGAATTTGCACTATTTTGATGCCGCTTTTCGGAATCTGTGTCATACAGAGGTAATATTGCAGTATATAGGAGTATATACATATATACATGTATGTAGGTATGATGAGCGAGAGATGCATGTACTGTGATTGATAAGACAGAATATGAAAACACCTACGTACGTGGCCTGATTAAACCTTTACCTATGAAATCTTTAAAGTGCTGACACGTCTTTTTTCACTGTGAGTAATCATACTGATATCAATTTTAATTGTGACAATAATCAAGCATTAATGTAGAGTTTACGGGAAATCTTTTCAGAACACGGACCTGTTGCATCGGAATGCAGAATAAAGCGCGACTGCTAAATCAAATTAAGTCTAGCAGGATTCCGGTAACCTTTCATTATCTATACAAATTCGAAAGTTCTATTTTCGTTTTAATTTACCTTGAATCGGAACTTGATAACACTGCTGATAGTACGTAAAACTAGCCTATAGACATTGGGGGATCAAATAGACGTAAGTTTACGTGATATATTCTTTTTTTTTTCTTTTTAAGTCTGCCTCTGATTTTTGGTATTTTTGGAATCTATTTACTGTAATGAACTTTTATAGTAAAACATAATTTAATCTCTATTTGGGATTTTAAAGAACCTAAAAATAGCACGTTTTGTTTGTTATAACTACTGTACAAAGAGTCTACGCCCTTAATATAAGAAAAAAAGTAAGTTATGAGGCTGTTTGATCGATCACAGTATTTTGTGCATTCTGATGAAAGAAATGGTTGAAATGTAAGTCACCTAAAATTTAGAATATCTGGAATATACCGAATGGCTTTAATTGGTGTACAGTAGCGACAGCCAGGATTCTTCCACAAACAACAGCTGTTCACTGAAAAAATATAAGGGCGGGTGACAACAATTCCAACTTTTTAAGCATGTCGGCGGTTGTACCGTTTTAACATGGAAAATTTGGGATTCCTGCTGAAATAAAGGTTGAAAACTTATATCTTTAAAAAATTCTGGCAACAAAGTACACAAAAATCCACCATGTTGTCCACTGATGGAAAAGATGTTAGTTTTGCTATCTAAGGCATCCCCGGTTTTCCGTCGATCTTCTGTTGCTTATATTTGTCTATAAATGGACTGAGTGTACATTTCACTCCTCTTCTGATATATAGACTACCACCCAGGACATCATCAAAGAGCCGTTTGTTTAAAGTATATCGCCCCCGTCACGGATTCCAAGAAGCTTTCCAGACCACTCATATACCTCTAAAGTAAAATACTTAATGACCATATAGACTAAGAGTTAAAAGTATGACGAGAAGGTTGTTGGTTATTGGAATGGGTAGTGCTCAAGCCAAGTATGAAGCTTAAAAAATCAGGTGCAAGGGGGGGGGGGGCGGAGTTCAAATGAGTATCCTATTGGATATAGAGATATTAAGTCATTATTCATTGCACTAGCACTTGTATACATATGCTTCATAGAGGAAACGAGACCAATTGCTGGATCCACTCTGAATTTTGAACAGGAGGTATGGCACAAAAATTCATATAAATGACCTCAACATAGTTTTAAAGTTGATAAACTAGGTTTATCAATTGTAAACTATATTTTACGCATTCTACAGTTAAAGATCTGTTCAGAGGAGGACCATTTGATTCTGAGGGAGGGAGAGGGTGCGGTCCAGGCAATTCTGGAAATAAATAATATCCCCCACCTGCGAAATAGAGTTTTCGAGTTTTGACAGATTTTTGTATTAAACTTTTTCATCGAAGAAGAAAATAAGTAATATGTCCCTGATGACAATCTGTCCGTCACTGACAAGAAAAAAAAACTGACTCGACCCCCCCCCCCTTTTAAGATCAAATGTTCGACCCAACATTGTTTTCATCTATTAAATAGTTAACAGTTGTATCCTATATAGTTTTAATACGAATGCAGAAAGTTTTTCTGTAAATAAACGTTAATGATAGTTTTCGTTGACAAATACATGTACATGTATACATTCTCAATTCTCATTATAACCTTAGTTAAAGATTTTCACTGAACGTATATATTGCTTTATTCAACAGATAAATGTAAATGGTAGCCTTAATTGTTAACAGGAATTTTTATACACTCTGCTTGTAAACTGTAATTAACACTGAGGCGTAAACTATATTTCGATTACAAACTATATATAGATTTGAAACGGAGATAAACATATAATTAAAATGCATTGTTTATTGTTATAGATTTAAGTTTAATTCATACTCGTAAACTAAACGTAGTATAGATAACTATAGTTTTGAACGTAGACTATAGTTTAGAGTCATGAAATATTGCTTCACTGAAGAAAAATCGCAAATCATAATAGGCCTATGTTTATTTTCAAAAGTGTTTTTAGTGTTTATCTATGGATATTTGTTTTTGAACGCTGTTAAGTATAGTTTAATAAATGCAATATATGTATAGAACTGTTAAATAATGATTGAACCTGACGTCGTGTTAATTATAGTTTATACTTCGTAAGGCCAAAAATGTGTACGTGTTTCCGGTAACACCCTCCCACCCCCACCCCCCACCCCCCAAAATAGTGAAGGTGGGTAGGGGATAACTTTTCTTTTTTACATTTTTATTCTGAAAGCATCAGTTAAAAATTCAATACCAGACTCGTTGGAAGCAATTTTTTTTTGGGGGGGGGGGGATAAAACATTTTCAGTTTGGGCGTCTTGTCAAAGAACTCGACCCACAATATGCCTTATTTGGCCTAGTAAATATGAAAAAAATTAAAATGGCTTCAGAATGAATGTTTTTGATAATTCTCACCCTAGAACATTAACACATTTCACATGAACAATATTTCCGTCAAAACCGGATATTTATTATGTCAAACTAAATTCTAAACATCACCGTGGTTCGAGGTTTTCCGGGAAAAATGCCAAATTTTACACAATTAATCGTGATTTACACATACAGCACACTCGTTACCGCAAAATATTAAAACAGAAAAAGAATAATAACTATTCGAGAAACATTTTCCAGTGAAAATATTTTGCGGTAACGAGTGTGCTCATGTTGAAAAAAAAAAATAAAATAAAATTTCAGTGCGTGTGAAAAATGCTATGGCCACGATCCATCATGTGTCTTCGTGTTTTACACAAACTTATAGGATCGATTCATGAGGTGTAATATATTGATAATGTAAGTGGAAACGCACTCATATCCCACATGTAAAAAAAAAAAAGTTAAATGAGGCGTCATTAGGCAAATCAGACGATTGGAATATATGCTGGTTTTAAAAAGGGTTAAAAATGCCCATTTATCAACAGTTTTTTTCCCAAAGTTAGATGGGGTCACAGGCAAGAACAACTTTCATACTTACTATATGTATAAATACCACAAATACAAATCTTTATGTCAATTATTAGCGTTGTTTGTGCTTTGACAAATACGAAATTTTACTTTTGAATTTTGATGCTTTCAAAAATCCGGTAATTTCAATGGCCAAAATGCTAATGGGTGGTTCATATTACACTTAAGATCCATAGATAAGACACAAGGTGATAGAAAAGCAGTCGATTGTTTGTTTTTAAGACACTAAATGTGGTAAAAAATCTAAAAATGACATTTTCTGAAATCATACATGTATTTGGAAAAAAGCAAGGGTGTATATTATGATCATGTATGTTGTACATGACGTTACTCGTTATACGTCATTTTGACGTCATAGAAGATACATGCAATCAATATAAAATGCTTATCATAAAAAAAATCGAAGGCTTGTTACATGTATGCATAATGGACCTAATTTTCTGTCGTTTTGTTAAATGCCTTTGATTAGAAACGGGAAAATTATCTTTAAAAAGATATCATTAGAATTTTAGCATTAAGATAATTAGAAATATCTCTGTAAACTGGATCCAAAATAGAACTCATGTGCTGATCCGTCAAATGCACATGTCCGGCTTTAATGAATCCCCATGTCGGTACATACATATTCATATCTACATGTAGCAGCAATCAATCTTTATTTTTGTAACTTCTTGTCAATTATTTCATTAAAAAAAGCCCGCGTGATAATTCTTA